GCCAACATGGGCTACAGCGAGATCACCTTCTACACCCCGAAGCTCCGCAACTCACCTAAGTCCTTCGGCTGGATGATGGGTAACGGAGTTCTTTACGGTCAGCTGGATTATGTCAGGCCTGACTCCCTGCTGAGCGATGTGCAGGTAAATGTATATTTAAAAACGTTTATTCAGAAGCTAAAACATTTATGAGGTTATTTTGCACTGCATAAGTATTAAATGAAATGTAAGAAAATGAACATTTCCTCTGATGTGACAGGCCGATAAGATGATGCAAATGTGTACGTAACTCAAACTGGTTACGAATCTGGTCCCGTAAGAAATATTTGCAGTTTGGAGGTTTTTAAAGTGTTCAAAACGAATAGACTAGTTGCGACTACTGAAATAGGTCAAATTTGCCCTGGTTGTGCCTATTTTGAAGATTGTCTTAAGAGACAGCACTATTCAAGCCTGTTAAAGATACATTTTTCCGTTAAGTTTAAAGATTTTACATTAAAAAAAATATAAGGTTTGTTTTACTAGCTTAGATGTAGTGGTGAACTCTTGGTGAACATGTACCTTTTGAATCTGCGTGGGCCATAACAGTAACACAAGGCATAACAACATTATATAAGAATATGCTATTTCCACTACAGGAGAGATTTGATTTCTATACTTATACTTTTTTCCATCTTAATTAGATGGAAAAAAGGATGTGCGTATATTAGCATCGGCATTGGAAATTCATCAGAAGGAGTTGGAAAATATCGGCAAAAATCCCACATCATGCATCTTTCAATAATAACTCTACCTTCTCCACATTGACTCCTTTGTTCTCCTTATCTTATGCGCTCTTCCTCCATATTTTCTCTCCCCTAATGACACAGGTATGGGAGTACACGCCTGACATTGACATCAGTCTCGACAAGCCCATCTCCATCGTGCTGACCCAGTTCCACTTCCTGCTGCTGCTCCATGATCGAGTAAAGGCCATATGCACCCTGAATGGACAGGAGGTGTACGAAGATGTGTTCCCAGATAAATTTGGCACCCTAAAGAAGATGATCAAGGACCCAGTTGGAGGTTTGGTGTGGATCTACACTGAGCGGGCGGTGTTCCGGTACCACATCCAGCGCGAGGCCAGGGACGTCTGGCAGATGTACATGAGCATGACTAAGTTCGACCTGGCCAAGGAGTACTGCCGGGACCGGCCCGAGTGCATGGACATGGTTCTGGCCAAGGAAGCCGAGCACTGCTTCCAGAACAAGCGGTACATCGACAGCGCCAAGTGCTACGCGCTGACGCAGAACTACTTTGAGGAGATAGCGCTCAAGTTCATCGAAGCCAAACAGGAGGAAGCCCTGAAGGAGTTCTTACTGAAGAAACTGAATCATTTGAAACAGAGCGAGAGAACACAGATCACCCTGCTGGTCACATGGCTCGCCGAGCTCTACCTGAACAGCCTCGGCCAGCTGGAGAGCGACGGCAACAGCGTCATCTTCCAGGAGACTCGTGAAGAGTTTCGAGAATTCCTCAGCAGCTCCAAGCACAAGGAGTGCCTGTACAACAACCGCACCACCATCTACGACCTGCTGGCCAGCCACGGCAACGTGGACGACATGGTGTACTTCTCGGTCGTCATGCAGGACTACGAGAGAGTCATATCCCACTACTGCCAACACGACGACTACAGCGCCGCCCTGGATGTGCTCTCAAAGCACTGCGATGAGAAGCTTTTTTACAAGTTCTCCCCGGTCCTCATGCAGCACATTCCCAAAAAAGTGGTCGACGCGTGGATCCAGATGGGCAAGCGGCTGGACCCGAAGAAGCTCATCCCGGCTCTGATGAACTACAGCCAGATGGGCAGCACGCAGCAGATCAGCGAAACCATCCGCTACATGGAGTTCTGCGTGTACGAGCTGACCGTGACGGAGGAGGCCATCCATAATTACCTGCTGTCGCTCTACGCCAAGTACAAGCCGGATTCCCTGCTGTGGTACCTGGAGCAGGCGGGCACGCACCCCTCAGAGATCCACTACGACCTGAAGTACGCCCTCAGGCTGTGCGCTGAGAACGGCTACCTCCAGGCCTGTGTGCTGGTTTATAGGATTATGGAGCTGTATGAGGAGGCAGTGGATCTCGCTTTACAAGTAAGTGATGTTTTTTAATTTTTTTATTGCATTTGAACTGCAGCAATTTGTTCACGAATCAATTTGCCGATTCATTGTAAATTGATTGAGGTGTTTTCAAAGACTCTTACATTTCCGACTTCTCTCTGCTTTATATCATATTTAACTCAATATTAAGAATTGTTGCACTTTTAAGAAAGTGGGATGGAAATGTTTCATTACTTTCAGACTATTTTTTATATAGCAAATTATTAATTAAGAAAGTATTTTGCAGATTAATTGATCGTAGAGAAAATAGTTAGATGCCACTCTAATGTGTCCAAATGATGCACCATTTTGTAGTAAACCTATCATAAACCTTTGACTGAACTTGACTAATGCCACTCACTTGCAATGTGTTTATCAACCATAGGTAGATGTAGACTTGGCCAAGTCGTGTGCGGACCTTCCTGAAGATGACGAGGAACTGAGGAAGAAGCTTTGGCTGAAGATCGCGCGGCACGTGGTGCAGGAGGAGAAAGATGTGAAGAAAGCCATGAACTGTCTGTCCAGCTGCAACCTGCTCAAGATTGAAGACATCCTGCCATTTTTCCCAGACTTTGTCACCATTGACCATTTTAAGGTCTGTAACAAAGAGTTTCCTTTCCTTTTGTAACCAGAGAAACATACCCATACGTAATGCCAATATGTTTTGACTTGATTTTTGGTGGTGAACCTTTATATTTAGGAGGCCATTTGCAGCTCCCTGGAGGAGTACAACCAGCACATCGAGGAGCTGAAGCAGGAAATGGAGGAGGCCACGGAGAGCGCTAAACGCATCCGAGAGGACATCCAGGAAATGAGGAACAAATATGGCGTTGTGGATTCCCAAGAAAAGTGTGCTTCATGTGACTTCCCATTACTCAACAGACCCTTCTATCTGTTCCTGTGTGGACACATGTTCCACTACGACTGCCTGTTCCAGGTATATCTCAGAGGCTGCTTCTGTGCCACTGCACAAATGATGTGTTCTTTTAGTTTAGTTAAAATCTTAAAAGTATCATGATTGAAATATATCTTCAATTATACATTTAAAAGATGCCAACAAAATAATGAGTTTGTAATCTATCAAATCAGAGGTACAGGATGGTTTAAACTGAAACGCGCTCTTTTGTGCATCAATGAGTTCACAAAATGAATACAGAGTTAAATCCCGGATTAAATGTAAGTTAAGGGGTCTTGAAAATATTGATTGTGAAGTTATCCTTGTGATGTTGCAAATTACACGACTGAGAAGCAAGAAAAATGTCAGACTTGAACTGACTAAAAAGTATCAACGTACTGATCGTAAGCACATTTTCTATTCCTCTGCTTTCTAGGAAGTAACCCCTCACCTGACGCCCCTTAAGCAGAGTCGTCTAGAGGAGCTGCAGAAAAAGCTGGCCGCGACCACGCAAACCTCTAAGTCTCGACACCGCCCGGCGCCCAAGGACGAAGGAGACACTGCCAGTCTGGGAAAGGGCAATGCGGGTACAAGCCGCGAGCAGATAAAATCAGACATGGATGACATCATCGCGTCGGAGTGCGTCTACTGCGGCGAACTGATGATCAAGTCCATCGACAAGCCCTTCATTGATCCAAAGAAATTTGAGGAAGAGAAATCCAGCTGGTTATGAATGAGGCCTCAATTCCTCTCAATATGAAAAAGACATGACAGCCAACCATCCTGTATGTTGATGAAACTGCTCCATCCGTAGGACTGACCCATTCAGTGGATACAGACATTCACCTGATTGCCTACTGTTGTTCAGCTTCAGGTGTGATTTTGGTTGGCAGTATATGAAGCTGATTTAAAGACCTTTGCACTTTGTATGGCTGTAAAAAGTGGACATTGTGGAAAATGATACACGATGATGTACTGATGTATAATATTGCCAGGGCTGAACCTCTGAATATGATGGCAGAAAATAATTCAAAAGCTAGAATCAGATATAACTGCACTATACATCTATTAATAACTTTAAGTTATGCACTTGCTTTGTCTATTGGAAACATAACCTGCACTTCCATAGCTCAATTCAACCGCTCCATCATCGGCTCTTAGTTCATCCTACAGGTAACGTGGGGCAGATTATCAAACTGTTAGTTTATATACTCACTGTTTTACGATACATTTGTGGCACATTGAAGCTTGTCAGTGTGGATGGACTGATATTTGGGTTGTTTAATGTAATAAATATTTAACAAATGATTTTAACTATTGACTGGACTGAGAACAATCAAAACCCTTCTTCACTGTTCCTTTGCTCCCTGGAGGAGGACAGCAAACATCATCACATCAGTGGGTTTAAGCGATACACAGAATAGTTTATGCAGTTTAATAGTGAAGCATGTCAAAAAATTGAGCTAGGCTACTGTGACAGCAAGCATTTTTTGGATCCAAACAATGATTAGCATTCTGTGTGTATCACATATTTATTACCTCTATAAGTGACAGTACATTTTCATACATTTGCAAAAAAACAAGTATGTATATTTTCAAATTTTCTGGAGTTCACTTGAAAATAGTATACAAGTTTACAATGGTCACATTTTACCCTGGATATCCCAACTGTCTCACCATACCTAAAACGGAGTTCCCGTATAGTGACGTCAGACGTAGCTCGGTAATCTTCGCTGTGTGCAGACGCTATTAATCGAGATCGGAATTTAATCGATGCATTTGTACAAGTTGTTCATATGCCGCCCAAAACGTCATATATGATATATATGAATCTAATTAAACTAACGAACGATACTGCTGCTATTTCTTGTCACATTCGTGTCTTCGTAGACATCCACAGGAGAGCGTCATTCTCTCTGCGATTGATTATAACGCCTGCTCCTTGCTGTACCCTCGCCATGGCGTCGTGTCTCTGCTCTCTCAGTAACAGAAAGTGGCCGCCTCTCTGCTGTTGCTGCCGACTCAAAGCTCACAGACTCGCTCGGCGCCTCAAACCGCCATTTTGGAGTCAGAGAACCGAGAGTCGGCAGCAGCGGAGAGAGAGACGCAAAAGGGGACACGGGGCCGAGGTGAGAGACTCCATGGTGGTTGTTATGGCGAAGGAGCAATGGGGGAAGATGGCCGGGAGGGAGAAAGAATTAAAACATGGGGATCATTCGTTCGCCAGGCAACCGAGTCCCCGTTTGTGGCCGAAACAAGGGTACGGGAGGCGCGGGCGAAGGGCCTTGCTCTCGCTGCACCGCGACTAGCCTGTTTAAGAAATGCCATTAAACCAATATCATCTTAATACATTGTTTAGGCAAGGAGGTGGTGGCCTTAAAGAGACAGACCCGATTTGAATACTTCATATTAATGGTGAGAGGACGTCTGTGTCAAAATTATAAGCTAACGTTTCTAATGAAAAGCTACACAAGCGATAGCAAGGATGCTATAGCAACAAAGACCAGATGCTTGGGAAATCAACTATCAATGTATATTTAGTGTCCCCTACTTAAACCAGTAAGCTGTCAGTGTGTGTGTGTGTCTATTCAAGTACCTTGACCCTTTACTATCATTGATCGGAGGCAATGCTGCTTCTGCTTATTAGCAATGCAGCTAACGGTTGTTAGCCTGCAAGCTACAACCCAGTGCACCATCCAAGGTTAGCTAGCAAACCTGGCTAACGCTATCTTGGATTTGCAAGCTAGCTAATCACAATATAACGACGTAATAGCATAACAAGATATATATTATTAATAACAACAACCCATTTTGTTCTTAAAAAAGCGTCCGAACTCTTAGTTGGCTTTAGTTTTTGCCATCCGTTAACAGGCGACAGAGTGAACTTGCATCAAAGTAAAGTGAATACGTAATGAGAAGTAATTACTGAGGACAACCGAATCGTCACTCACTGTCATAACTCAAAAACATCACTTGCCACTCACAAATTAAATTATAACTTAGATAATGCATCAACACTTGGTTACTAAGTGATATTGAAATTATTGACTCGAACCATTAAAAGATGATACATCAAATATATTCAATATGACTCTTAATAAACTGTTACTGATATGAAAATATTATGTAGTAACACTTGGTCATTAAGCTATATTAACGTTATAGTGGAAATGGTGGACTCAAAACCACTTAAATATATCCAACTGTTTCTGTTAAAATAGTATAGAGTATACTAGCCTAGTGTGTTATACAAACAATAGTAAATCAACTCTTCTTATATAAAGGAAAGCTGAATCAATGCATTTTGTACTATAAAGTATTAACATCATGTACACAATGGCAAATCATGTACAATTCATTCAATTAAATGCATCGTAATGTTGCAGAAGCTTTTTTTTGTTTTATTCATTTCATTTCAATATGGAAACCTGTGAAAATTATGAGCATTCACATTGTCAGAATTGTGCAGAACACCACACATGAAAGAACACTAGCCACCCATAAAAACACTATATCACTGTCATGTGTGAACATCAGTGTGTGACTGCAGTTTCTTCTTTTGTAGGGGACTTTCACCATTGTCTGATCATTAATCTTGGAATCAAGGACAATGGCATCCCTTACTGAGAAGGTAGGTCCAATGTTTATGCTCTGTTTTGCTTAATAAGTCCCATACAATGATGATATTATACTGCATGCCAAGCCAATGGAGTACAAAAGTTAATTTTGGACTAAATGACATTGTTCTGACATGACTCAGTTTGAGATATAGGGCTTGATTAGTCTTTCTTCTTCTCTCTCTTTTTAGTAAACGCGCTGCCCTGTTGGGCAGAGGTGTCTGCTGCATGGCGTCTGGGCAGGGGGGCCGACCGGAGGCTGGGGCATCAGGGAGCTCTGGCCTGGCCAAACCTCTCTACCTGCAGCGCTTGGAAAGATCCCTGAGGTTGGACAGTTTCCTGCGCCAGACTGCCGCCATCTTCAATGGAGATATAACCACCAGGTACAAGCAGAGTAGAGTGGGTGGGCAAACACTTTTCAATTTTTGGCTCCGGTTGGCCCCTGATAAAATGTTATGGTTCATTTAAGTGTCTCATGCTTGGATGTTGACAATTTTTGTGAATGCAATTGTGTGTGTATGGGTTTGCTGGTTAAAAACACTGTGTGCATTGTAAAAGGGCTGCACGATTTGGTAAAAATAAGTCATTGCTATTATTTTCAGGATAATACAAGGTATTATCTTTTTTAAATCATTATTCAAGTTATCCTTGAACAATTCTACTAAATGGCCATGGTGTGAATTATTTAAATTTTTTAAGGACCAGTACTAAACAAGCTTTTTAATTTAATATGTTATATATTTTTTTTAAGCTGTTCTACAACACCACTATACTTCTTTCAGAACTATTTAAAAAACATATTCTTTACTAAATATTGCACCTACTGCGATTTGGATATTGCACTAGTCCACATTGTGATTTGACTTATATTGTAGCAATCTTCCATCCAGTATATCAGGTCCTAAGTATCTAATGTTGTCCTACAATGTGCCCCCTGCACAGTATTCATACTACCAGATACAAATCCAAAGAGAAGATTAGATATTTATAGTCTGCAAAGAGTGGGCTCACAGCTGCATGCCTCTCATGTTCTAGTGATGAGAGTGATGACAGCGATGGAGGATTGGGGACGGGGTTATCCCTGGACGCCCCCACTCAGCATACTGCTCTGACCGTGAAGAGTGAGCCGTGTGAGGAAGAGGATGGGCTCTCAGAGGAGAAGCCCCTCAACGGAGTCCTGCTGCAGGGTAAAGGTACATACAGAAACACTGATATTTATGTTATGCACATGTTAGTATACACTGGTTTTGTCTAACTGTTCACGGGGGTTCATGCATATTTATATTGTGTTGTGTTTTTTTGTCCCCCTCTTAACTCCACAGACCAAAAGGCAGATAATGCGAGTCTCTACAACTTCTCCAAGCTGAAGAAGAACAGGAAATGGCTGAAGGTATTTTATAGACATTTTCTCATTTGTACTATGGATGTAATTGTTCAGTTGAGGAATGGATTACTCATAAAACTAATATATTTATTTAGTGGTCTAAAACTTGGCTAAACCCAAACTTGAAAAAACTGTTGAAATGGTCATGTTTTTTGTTGTTGTAAATAACTCAATGGACACAAATGTAAATGATTGTTATACATTTGTCTTTAAAAACAGTAAAAGTACCAAGAGAAAGCCGCATTTTTACTTAAATCTCTGGCTATTTATCCTCTATTTCAATTTTCCATTCAAGCTCTTGCCAAAAATCTAACAATATTTCAAATACAATTAATTATGAACTATCTGTGCCCCTTAATTGATCAGTTATTTCTCCTCATATATTTAGTGTTTATGGAATGTAATAAGCTTCCAGTCCATTCCCTTTACCAATGGTTTTGACCTGCTTAACTATATTTGACTTATCCATACAGTTGAATAAAAAGATCAGTACAGATGTTGTCCTTCTCTGTATCCTGTACCCTTTTTACCATGTTCCTCCTCCGTCTCCTGCAGACTATCCTGCTGAGTGACGACACCACGGACTCGGACACGGACTCGGATGACTCTGACTTCAGTTTGTCCCGGGACGAGCTGCAGGACATGCTGAGGCTCCATCGCTTCACCAGGCAGCATCAGAGCAAGTTCCACTCTGACCGGGAGGTAGGAGAAGCTCACATAAACACAGCGTCTGGTGACATAAGGAATTCCATTTGTAATGTCATCTTCACATTTATTTTCCTTTTTCCTTCAGCTTCACCAATACCAGTACTACAGCACTGGACTCCTCTCTACTCATGATGCCTTCTATGAGCAGCAGCGCCACCTGCTGGGCCCAAGGAAGAAGAAAATCAAAGATGAGAAGAAATTCAAGGGTAAAGACAAAAAAAAACTAACATCTCTGGAATCCTTTAGAATCACAGTTGTGTAAATAACCAAACTAAAAAAGCATACATGTTTTTTAAATATAGTAATTTACATGTTTTTATTCTATATATTTTTTTAGCCAAACTGAAAAAGGTGAAGAAGAAGAAGAAACGGGGCGAGGGGGACTTCCTGGATGATGGGCGTCCTTATATCACCAAGATCTTCGCAAAGTTTTCCCATGATGCTCCACTGCCCGTAGTGAAGAAGAAGCATCTCACCATTGAGCAGCTGAACGCACGGCGGCGTAAAGTCTGGCTCACTATCGCTAAAAAGGAGATTCCCAAGGTTCGTATGCATAACAGTGACAAAGACGACGTTAAACAGCTTCTTCCTTTTTAAATATAGTAAAACATTTATTTTGAAAGGTGTAATTATTATTTTATTACTATTTTGCAGACTTTCAAGCAGAAGACCTCTGCTAAGAACTTAGTATCGACCAATGCCAAAAAGGTAAGTGTACACATCACAGTTTTTGTATAATTAAGGATACATTTGAGTTTAAGTGGGATATTTAACCTCTGTTCCTTTTGTCCCAGTTGGCTCATCAGTGCATGAGAGAGGTCCGGCGCGCTGCCATCCAGGCCCAGAAGAACTGCAAGGAGACGTTACCACGGGCCCGCCGCCTCACCAAGGAGATGATGCTCTACTGGAAGAAATACGACAAAGTGGAGAAGGAGCACAGGAAGAGGGCGGAGAAGGAGGCTCTGGAGCAGCGTAAACTGGACGAAGAGATGAAAGAAGTAGGTGGAAAGGAAAGGGAAACATTTGCAAAAGGTTTTACCGAAGAGGTAAGATTCATTTATAAGTAGGGTTGGGAACCGAAACTCGGTTCCAGATGAGAACCGATAAGAAAATGCCGGGTACCGGGTACCCGTACAAAATACACCTTTTCGGTTCTGCTTAACGGTTCCTAAACGCGGTAGACCCTGTATTCCAGCGGGTCCGTCTGTACCGCGGCGCCGCGGTGACCCGGTGGAATACAGGGCGGACCTGGAGAATCACAGAACGGCCGGTCGTCAGCGGCCGTTGACGGCCGGCTCGGTACGCTGATGGCCGGCACCGCCCTAACATTTTTTAAACGGCATCATGTAAGTTGCGCTGACAGGCGACAGAGGTCCACAGTTGCCCCGCAGCGAGGCTCCCCCCGCCCTCCCGTAGACAGTTCACGAGCTCAGTCACTTCATAACACCAAAGATGGGTCGCGGTAAACGCTCTGAAGTGAGGCTCCACTACACTAAAAAATAAAAAGACAATTGGGCACAGTGTTAATAGCTTGCCACAGGCATAGCTCAGTTAAAATAAAGCACAGCTATTGTGCAATAAATTTGTATTGCATGTATATTTTTTATTTGTAACAATTTCAGTTAAAGCTGAAAAGAATAAAGATATTTGTGTTATCTAAACGTTTGACCTCTTTCTTTTACAATTTTGGAATCGAAACGGGGAATCGATAAGAACCGGAATTGATAAGCAGAACCGGAATCGGAATCGGAATCGATACATTTCAAACGATACCCATCCCTATTTATAAGGTTGGAAAGGTAAATCGACAATAAAACGCTGCAAAACTGCAGTCTTTTCATTGATTTTAAAGCTGGTATTTTGGCACAGTTGCAGATAAAGAAGAATTAGTAGTGCTTAACTACATTTGAGTTGTGACTGCGTAGGATTTTCCCTGATAAAGGTGTGAACCCAACAACTCTAATAAATCAGAAAGTCACATTGAATTTGAGAAAAGATATCTGTAATCGTATAATTTCCTAAATTCTCAATAGGATTTTATCATACAAAATAGTCTGCTTTAATACACATTTGTTGGCCTTTAAAAAACGAAATGTTCTCTGTGTTCAAAAAAGAGGTTCCTCTTCTGCTTGACGCTCACAAAGGGAGTCACATACTTTATTAAAGAAAGTGGATTACATAAAAACTGGTTTCATTCCAATAATCACATCAAATATAAAGACAGAAGCATATTACATCTGTTCCAATATAACTTGATAAAACACAAGTATTCAAGTCTAAAGAGGTGGTATACATAATTAAAAACATCTAGAGTGGTGATATTAAAGGAAATTGCTTTTTCCTGCTTTTCTCCCGTCTCTCGCAGGCCAAGCGTCAGCAGCGTAAACTGAACTTCCTCATCACACAGACGGAGCTGTATGCTCACTTTATGGGGGGTAAAGCCAGCATGGGGGGTCCGGAGGGAGACACGGCTCAGGTGGAGATTCTGAGGAAGCTGGAGGACAGTGCGGGTCTCAGACAGATCGACATCGGAGGAGGAGTGATGGTCAAAATGGGACAGGAGGATTACGGTATGAACGGCTCAGTCAAGTTTATTATAATATTAATGGTTCCTTTGGGGAACTGTAACAAGAAATATGTTTGTTTCTAAATACATGCCTAATAAACCATTTATTAGTATATTTGTAGCCTGTTTCATTTAGATTATATTTCATATTTTCCCTCCCAACATTTTATGTGTGAAACGAAAGATACTGTTTACTAATGATGATATTTTACATTATTTTCAAGCTTAATAAAAAAAAAGTATATATATCATTTTTTTGAAGAACATTCTTTAGGTATTGTGTATAGCAGTGTTTCTCAAACTTTTTCATATCGTTTTTTACAAATCGCCTGAAAATGGTACAAACAAGTGGCAACATGTGTGATGAAGGTGTTTATCTGGGCTAGATCATGCAATCGAAAGTGAAACTTAAGCTCGCTCCATTGCGGAGATATTCCCGCGAGAGTGCGGAAAACTTAAATTTATTTATTTATTTCAAATGTGAAATGTTACCAATATATTCACGGACCACTAGGGGGCGCTTACGGACCACCAGTGGTCCGCGGACCACACTTTGAGAAGCACTGGTGTATAGGAAAGAAAATGAAATATTGAATTATTCTGTTTTATTCACGAGTGGATTATGTACGGTTTCAGATAGCAGTTACTACAAGTCCCAGGCGATGAGGAATGCTAAAGAAGCCTACCAGATTCACCAAGAGAGAGTGAGTCGATGTCTGCACACACTCATCCATTCCACACACACTCCCCCTGTTGACACTGTGCTAATCTCCAACTCTCTGCCTGCAGACGCGGATGTTTGACGAGGAGGCGAAGGACAGCCGCTGTGCGTCGCTGCACGCCGTTGTAGGCCCGTCCTCAGGCTCAGGGTTCGGAGAGAGCTACAGCCTCGCCAACCCCTCCATCCACGCCGGCGAGGAGATCCCTCAGCCCGCCATGTTCGACGGCAAGCTCAAGGGTTACCAGCTCAAGGGCATGAACTGGCTTGCCAATCTTTATGAACAGGTACATTTTCTCCCCATAACACTCAATGGACCCAACAATCCGTGCTTAAAACATGAAAACAAAAATGTCCTGCAAGTCCTGGATTCAATACTTTTCTTAACTTACATTTGTTTGTACTTAGCAAACAAAATTAGAACTACCCAAGAAGGATTTTAGTCATCATATGTTTGGATCTTACGTTTTCAGGGAATTAAGCTCGGCAAATATTATCCTTTAGCATGAGCCCCTCCTTCCTGTGTCACACTGAGTTTTTATGTGAAACGCAATTCACAAGTTCCCTTTTTTAAACTTTTTTTGTACAGAATGAAAGAACATTTCTGGACACGAGTGAATGACGCCTCTTCTTTCTCTATGTCCTTATAGTTGGCATGTTGTTTGAAATATACATTTGTATCTTTTGTGAATGAAATACTTAAAGGTCAATGAATGTTGATGCTTTTATAGGCGTATACTTATAGTATGGACTCATCTGTAGGCCTACTATAAAACAGTAAAATAATTCAAAAGTTGCAGTGTCATATTTTGTATTTGTTATTCATACACACTGAATGATTTATTTTCTCCTGTGTTCTCTCTCTGCAGGGAATCAATGGAATCCTGGCAGATGAGATGGGACTGGGAAAGACGGTCCAGAGTATCGCCCTGTTGGCTCACTTAGCAGAGGTGAGGCCAAAGGCTTTCATCTATCTCACACTTTGAAAAAGCGCCTGGAATATTTGATTGTCTCTGCTGTTGTTACTAACCTAAGAAAACATGTAACGTCCAGCTTCTTTTTCCACCTGCATCCTTTAAAGCAGGGGTGGGGAACCTTTTTCCTCTCAAGGGCCATTTCAATGTTTTCAACATCCTCTGAGGGCCGTACAAATTATTGACCTCTGCTTAAAAAAACTAAAATCACAGCCCATTCATTTGGCCTTTCTTTCATGCTGTGCAAAGAAAAAGCAACCTCTTAATCCAGATATCTTGCCATGACTCACGCATGCACGTGCACGGTTGTGGCATGACCACCAAAACAGAAAGATATGGACACAAGATGTGTGCAAATGTATTTAGTTTCCTATCCATGTGAACATGATTTAAGTGGGGGGGACCTAACCTCTTCTAGGGGAGTCCGGGGGGCATGCTCCCCCGGAAAGATTTGTTTTTAAATGTTGAAGTTAAAAGCATCAATCTGGTGCACTTTGAGAGCAACATTAGGAGATCTATGGATACATCTCTCAACACCCAGATGAAACAGAACTGTAAGCAGATTTTCTTTTTCTTTATGGATATTTTACAAATCACTCCCCTTTCAAACTGTATTCTTGTTTATTAATAACAACTTTTTTTTACTGTCATATAGTATTTTATACCTGTTTACTTTATTCTCTTATTTTTTTACAACTATAATGATCATATAAAGATGTGCCTTTACCTCACTGGTTGTAGAAAAAGCTTCTTATATTCGTTAGCATAGCTAGCTAACCAGATGCTAATAACAACAAAGTTATTGACTTTATGATCAGTATGACAGATGAACAGATCGCCACTGGGCTTTCAACTAAAGACACAGCCACGCAGAAACTGCAGCATGTGTACGGCTCCTTATGAGTACTGACATTTTTGGAAGTGCCGGAGCGGAGCGGCGTTCCGGTGCTCTCCGTCAGAACTGCACTCCTGTCAGACGAGACACATACCACGTGATGACACGTTAGGCTTGTGTTGTGTTCAAGGACCCTGACCTTAGCCAGGAAAAACAGGCACTCACTTGTTTAATTATTTTGCGGTCTAGATTTCTTTAATTTTTTTCTTTTTTGCGTGTGTTTATAAATTACCTCGAGGGCCACACCAAATGGTCTCGCGGGCCGTATACGGCCCGGGGGCCGGAGGTTCCCCACCCCTGCTTTAAAGAGACCCTTCATTGTCACATTACTGTTTTCATTGTTATGCTTTTGTTTAGTCTCAAAACACCCAAAGCAGATACAGTTAAATCTAGGGGAAATGTGTGCTAAGTGATGAGCTATCCATAAAAGAAGGATGCACACCGTCTCCCTCCATGGCTTCCTGTTTTCGAGGCTTCTCACACATACAAATAGCACCTGCCGTCTAGCTGAATCCTTTTTCTTGTTCCTGCACAGAAGGACAACATCTGGGGTCCATTCCTGATCATCTCTCCTGCATCCACGCTCAACAACTGGCATCAGGAGTTCACTCGCTTCGTGCCCAGTTTCAAGGTGAGGATCCCTTTTTTGAAATTCTGCTGAGCGGAAACGCCTGCGAAATCACGTCCGCAGGAGTCCTGACATCCTCATCTCTAATGTTCGCTCTAATTCCTTTAATGGAATGGTTCTAAGCCTTGGTTCCGGGACCATTAAGGGGGTCGCAAGATCATTTCTGGGGGTCTCCAAAAAGTTGTAGGGAATGGCTTTTACTTTATAATTGCTTTTACCAGTGATATCATTGAGCCCTACTCATTTCCAAGCTTTCACAGAACTAATACTGCTAAATGTTTGGGTAATTAATGAACGATCAATGTGGGGAGGAGGACGCAAACACAAACATAATTATTGTTAGGAAAATCGAATCAAAAAGGTAGAGAACCTCTGCTCTAATCGACTTAGTGATCCAATGCTTCTTTTTTTTTCAAACATCTGATCATTTATAACCAAGATGAAGGGTTCAGAAACGGCCAGCATTTCCAGAACCCTCCATTAGAGGGCAGTGTTGCACCAGGACATTGGTACCAGGACTCCAAAGCTGTCAACACTTTGATTGTTGAGTGGCTGCACTTCCTTTTGCATGTCTTTACCGGCCTCTGACAGCCAGGCTGTGTGCATTCAATAATGTTAAAAAGCATTCATCAAACACATCAATTTGTTGGCTATGCTCTAATTCACAAACACTCACACTATTAAATGCCTAACTTGTTGCTGTGCCCATTTTCTCTGAGAATTTAAAAATAAATCATTTCCAGTTAGTTTTGCTAATGAGGTGTGAAAAGACCCTATTACACCATTTGAAGATAAGCTTCCTACACACTCAAAGCAGGTCTGACTGAAAACAATGGAACACCGGCGCGATGAGGGATGAAATGATGTGCAAATCTTTTCACATCACACTGCACATCAACAACTCGCTGACTGAGGCTGTGAATCATACACGTTGCTATGCCTACATGTTTCTCCTGGGAACAACAGCTCTGTTTACTTGTTACATTGCTAAAAGTAAACACTCAGTTTTAATATTAATTTGGTTAAATTCTTTACAGAGCGGATTCTTCATGTTTTTAATCCATTAATTGTCTCTGGGTTTGTATTCATATTGGATATTACTTGCGTTTTCCCATTTTAATCTGCTTTGTACTTCTACTACATTTCAGATGCTAAAATGTTACTTATAGTCCATAAAATGTGTGCAAAGTTACTAGTTAACACTTTACATATACAACACATGATTTACTTTTACAATATGATTACATTAAATTGCATTTAGCTGACGCTTTTATCCAAAGCGACTTACAATAAGTGCATTCGACCAAGAAGATACAAACTTGAAGGAAACAGAATCAGAAAGTACATCAGGTTTGATAGAGCCAAACATTTCAAGTGCTACTCAACTGGCTTTAGATAAGCCAGTCCTTTAATAGTATATAAGTGCTTTGTTAGTAATTGTATTGCTCGAAGTGGAGTCGAAAGAGATGAGTTTTCAGTCTGCGCCAGAAGATGATGGAGTACTGTACTACTAACCAATCCAGAATTTAAAAATAATCTAAAATTGGCTCCATATTGACAAACTACAACATTAAATGTATCTCTTAAATATACTTGTTTGTGATAAAAACAGGATTACAATATATATTCTATAGACATATAATACTGTGATGTTCTGCATACTGAGTACTGATACTTTTGATATTTTAAGTACATTTATCGATAAATCTTCTATATCGTAACACTTTGTATTTTTAACTTTAACTTGTAATGGAATATTTTAAGGCTATATTAATATTATTATGAGTCAATTATCAAAATTAGGGCTTAAACTTAAAACAAATATTGCAAATTAACCAGTACCAACTTTGAATCAAAGTTGGACGTGTTGACCATGAATCGCATTGCAGTGAAAAGGTAAAGAAAGCGGAGTAATCATGATTCATGCATTCAGTAATAATGTTAAAATAAAGTTAAAACAATCTCAGATTTCTCTGACCAGTTTGACATGACATTTGTATTACTACACCACAAGTGTATTAGTTTACTCTCCCCCAAACTACAAGGAAATACTAGTATTACTCATCTGTGATTTATCAAGATTATTATGGTGATCAACGCAGTTTTTTTTAAAATCGATTGTCAGCACTAATCAAAACCCTTCTCCATCTCTGGTCAGGTGTTGCCATACTGGGGGAATCCACACGATCGCAAAGTGATTCGGAAGTTTTGGAGCCAGGTAAGAAAACAGAGTTGTAAACATACAATGCTTTACTTATTTGTTTTGTTTTCTCAATAAATGCTATTTTCTTTCCTGTCTATAACCCTTCCTTTACCTATATTTCTACCTTTCAATAGAAAACCCTTTACACGCGAAATGCCCCGTTCCATGTGGTGATCACCAGCTACCAGCTCGTAGTGCAGGACGTGAAGTACTTCCAGAGGGTCAAGTGGCAGTACATGGTCCTGGATGAGGCTCAGGCTCTGAAAAGCAGCACCAGGTACGCAGAAAACATCATGTTCAGTAATACTGTTTACTCAAACACATCACTGGGTGCATTCAAATACAGCCACTCCAAATGTTTCTTGAATCCCAATCTCTACATGCCATACACATCCATTCAATTCCAGTGTCAGTTGAATTCCAACAGAGAAATGTTGTCAGAAGTTTATAGAGTAGAGTAAAATAAAAAAATGTTAATTTTACTCGAACACAAACCTATAAATAGTAAAACCAGAGAAACTGATAATGCTGTAGTGGTCTCTAATATCTTTTTCCTGAACTGTATGTTAAAATAAAATACTTGATATTTTAATACTCATGTTAATACTTTTTAGAAGACCGTACTTCGTTTTTTCTTGTTTCAGCCTTCTCCCTATTAATGAAGTCAAATATAGCATTTCAATACAGCTTGTTTACTGACTACGTAAACATATAGTATTTATATAGTTGCGTGTCTCTGCAAGTTATTTTACGTAGATCTGATATTTAATTTGAAAACATTTGACTAGTACATGCAGGGCAGCGATATGATCTTTTAAAAATGTTTTGAAAACCTGTTTAAAAAAACAGTTTACCACTTCTACAAGTACAAAGGTTTGCGTCATTTTATGATTACTATTGACTCAGACCAAAATCTACAAAACTAGTAACACAATGTTTTTTTTATCTTGATAATTCGAGTAGTTGGTGTGATTACCGTTCCCATCTGTTTTTTCAGTGTTCGGTGGAAAATCCTTCTGCAGTTCCAGTGTCGAAACAGACTGCTGCTAACCGGGACGCCCATCCAGAACACTATGGCTGAGGTGGGCAGTGTGTTTTTGTGTGTTAGTGTGTTCATGGAAGTCAGTGTGAGTCAGACAGACCTGTTGACGGCTGTGTGTTATTACTTTCCTTCAGCTGTGGGCCCTGCTGCACTTCATCATGCCCACACTGTTCGATTCCCACGACGAGTTTAACGAGTGGTTCTCCAGAGACATCGAGAGCCACGCTGAAAACAAGTCTGCCATCGATGAGAGTGAGTACAAACCCCGGCGTTCTGAAAAAACAGTTTTTATCCCCTGTTTTAGCCGGCAAAACATCAGGTTATTCGCGTGGATATGTGTCATTTGTGTGCCAGCATTGAACTGTTATCTCTGCTCAGTGATGTGTGTGATTTGCTATGCAGCTAAACACGATTGTTGGATGTTTTTGTTTCAGACCAACTCTCCAGACTGCACATGATCCTCAAGCCTTTCATGCTGCGCAGAATCAAGAAGGATGTGGAAAACGAGCTCTCAGACAAGGTAGGGGGGGGGAATGTATTCAATGTGGCAACTGAGATTCTTGTCCAGAGTTTAACATTTTTTCTGAAAGTAATTGGGCATTTGGTTCTGGACATGTTGCCATGTTTTGAGAGCAAATGTTTTCCATGTGGTGTCTTCGAGAAGGGCTTTGGATTTTCCTGGAACCAAACGAACAGGTAACTTTCAGGGAACATTACCTACCGGTTCCCTGAAGGTTATTTAGGATAATACATAAGAAAACCGTCAGTGAACTTTCCCTTAAGGTTATTTAAAAAAACTAAAACCTTTAGTGAACCTGTTAAGATAGATAGATAGATTCAACTTATTGTCATTACACAGTACAGGTACCATGTAACGAAACGGTTTCTCTGCATTTGACCCATCCTAGGAATGTTTCCTGAAGGTTCTCTAAAGGTAATGTAAACGTCTACAAAATATTAAAATTTCCCTCAGGAAATGTTCCCTAAAGGTTCTCTGAAGGTTATTTTAAGGTATACAAAAAACATTTAAATGACCCTCGGGTAACGTTCTCTAAAGGTTTTTCCTCATAAGGGAACATTCCCTGAGGGTTATTTAAAAAACTAAAACCTTTAGAGAACCTTTAGAGAACGTTACCCGAGGGTAATTTAAATGTTTTTTGTATACCTTCAGAGAACATTTAGGGAACTTTCCCTGAGGGTTATTTAAAGCCATAAACTTTAAAAAATGTTTTTAGGAAACGTTCCCTGAATGTTCTCTAAAGGTAAATCAAAGTTATAAAAAAAATGTTCTCTCAGGAAACCCTCAGTACTTTAAATGTTCTCTTAATGTTATTCTAATAAGGGAACATTTAAGTTATAGGGAATGTATGTTGAATGGTAACATATAAAAATAACCTTTTACCAAAGTTCGCAAACGTTTTTCTCATGGCTATATAAAGATCTTTTTTTCCTTAAACCACCCCCGGGGACGAGCGTTTGTGGAGCTTTACCACATCCAAATATAATTTGTTGAAAAGATTCTGCCATAAGTTTAGACAAAAGGATATCTTAAGTCAACACCATGTCGTCCCACTTCTTTCCTCTCCTGATTAAACCTGCACCCTCCCTCCATCTGTCCCCCCGTACCTCTCCTCATTGACAGAGAAAGTGTTGTAATAGGCTTGTGCTGGCAGATCCTCCTGACAGATGTTGGACTCACACATACTCCCTCACTCGCTGTGGGAGGCAGTTCTCCCCCACATTTGTCTCTTTCACTTTCCTTCACTCTAACATGCCAGCCCACTTCCTTTTTCTTCTCCACTTCGCACACACAAGCCAATAGTAACGTTCACTCACGGTGCATGGTTAGCTTTTAACGGTTTGTTGTTGTTCACTTTCACTGCTCTCATCAAAGCATGACCCCCGATATAACCAAAGATCTTGATGTGTGTTTTTTAAGAATATGGGTCAGACTGGGCATGGAGTCTGCACCCACAAATACACATGTCCGTCGAGCCATGTGAAAATACTGCGTGTTTTCTATGGAGGGATAACAAAGCAGTAATGCTGAGTCATTTGTCTTAACTGTCTCCACATGTGAAATGCAAAAGCGTTTACCTTGTAAATCAATCTTTTTTAACATCTCCAATTGAGAGAAGTTTCATCCGCTGTTGTCTTATTGCACATATTCCTTTCTTGCTTAAGGAAAACCAGACTGTTTAAAGTGTCATCGGCCCAAATAAAACACTGTTCAAATCATTCCGTTTTAAAGATTTCCAAATGTAGATTTAGAAAACCACCAAGAGAACCAAGAAAATAGTTATTTGTAGTTATATCTCCTTTTTTTTAGCCCCCCTTGCAGGTTCGACCGTTAATCGTTGTAAGACTCTTTACACACTTGTTCTCTCTCCCTCTACAGATTGAGATCCTGACCTACTGCCAGCTGACGTCCCGGCAGAGGCTGCTCTACCAGGCTCTGAGGAACAAGATCTCCATCGAGGATCTACTGCAGTCCTCCATGGGCTCGTCACAGCTGTCCCACAACACCACCTCCTCCCTCATGAACCTGGTCATGCAGTTCAGGAAGGTAGGACGTCCCAAAATAAAATAAAGTACATTTAACATGAACACAGCTATACAAAGCTATTCAGATACAGCAGTCAAAAATGATTGATGGTTGTTATTAATCCTAATAACTTGAGGATCATTTTGAATTTTCTTTCTGCATTCCTTAATAGTGCTACATTTTATGGGAATAAACTTTGAGATGCACTATTGAGCATGGCTCTTTCCAAGCACAAGCATGAGTAATGCTTTAATGATACACTGTCTGTCTCCTTGTGTGTGTAGGTGTGTAACCACCCTGACTTGTTCGAGCGCCAGGAGACCCGCTCTCCGTACCACATGTTCCTGAAACCCTACGTCATGTCCAAGTTCCTCTACCGCCACGGCCTCATCCACGCATGCAACCAGTCCAAAAACAAGTATGTTATTTCACATACATGATGCAGCACACAGACATGCCTGAAACCCAATGAAAACAGGTCCATCAAATATTCTACAAGCACTGTTTTGAAAAGGGTTAGTTTCACATTTTAAATGTTAAAAAAGTAAAATATTCTTTCTTAGCAAATCTAATTTGTTGATTTAGATTATTTTCCCTTTAACAGCTATTACTACTTAGGAATGTCTCTTTCACTTTTTCTCACATTAAGTGGTGTAACCTTGTCTGTCTCTTACTTCCTCAGATTACTCCAAGTGCTGTTGTCTCCCTTCTCCCCCAATCACATCCAGCAGTCTCTTTTTCACAGAAAAGGTGAGTGTGTATAAAGCGTTGAATTTAATCGTACACAAAGCTCTCGATAAATACATTTTCAAACCTTCCCTCTTTGAGATTCACAATTGAGCATGGCTCTTTCCAAGCACAAGCATGAGTGTTTTCTCCTCGCCTCCTTGTGATGTTTCCCTCATTCTTTCCCTGCTCGTTCTTTTCACCTTTTTTCTTATTTAATTTCTGTGTTTAAGTGTTGTTTTCTTCATTCTGTTTTTACCCTTTCAGGTGACGACAAAGGAAGCTGTTTCTCCTTCCTGCGCTTCATCGACGTCTCACCAGCTGAGATGTCCAATCTCATGCTGCAAGGAACCTTAGTAAGGTGGGCTTAAAGATTCCTATCTGTTAAATAATCAATAATGTCCAATTTTACACGACATGGTAATAGCAGAATTCATTGTTGTCCCCCTCTCCTGCTCATTTCTCTCGCAGGTGGTTAGCCCTTTTTCTGTCCCTCAAAGCTGCCTATCGGCTCCACCATCAGCGCCTGTTCGGCCTTGAAGAAGAAGAAGAGGGTCAGGAGGAAGCCGGAGACTCACTGGGGGAGAGAGGGGGGTCACAACCCAGGAGTAAATGTCTGTCTCGCAAGGACTTGATCTTGTGGCTGAACAGACCCACCAATTTCCCCAACGTGCAAACCAGCCCCGTCCTGCAGGTAAGAAACACACTCAGACTTAAAGGTCACCTATTATGCAAAATGCACTTGTTGATGTGTAAGGAGACTCACAGAGTGTCAGAAAACACAACCTTCTCTCTTTTCCTCCTTACCCACATCTCTAAAAATGGGGGTACAACGGAGCAGATCAAGATTTGCTGCGGTCATTTACGTTGAACTCCTGGTCACGTTCCGCCCACGGCCCAACCTATCAGAAACGTTGCTGTATCAGAAACAATGCGCAACGTGTTTTTTAATTAATATGGTCTGTTTTTACATTAGCAAGCATCGCCAACACTCAGAGTTAACGCTGTAATGGAGAGAGTATGTGTAAAAAAGCTGGATATAAAAAAGTACTCGCCTTATGGTAAACCCGTGAGACAAAAAGCATTTGAGCTCCATAGCAGCGTTTCCGCCAGGGGGGCGTCTTGCCGTAATTTGACGCCCTTATTCAGCTCGGGACGCCCTGAACTCGAGCCGAGGGCATCCAAAAATATTAATAATTCGAGAGAAGATCGAGAGTTTTTATCACTTGAAATCAGGAAAAAGGAAAAAGGACAAGGACATCCCTCTGTTGGAGGGGCAAAGGAGTCTGGTGGGATTCTTTTCGGAGTATTGAAGATCGTTTCCCCGACATCGGCGGTACCTGCTACAGGACAATACGGAACGTGCGCTATTTGGACGCGATGAGCGGTGCTAGTGGCGCACGCGCGTGAGCTGCGAGCACCAGAGCCTCGCAGCGGCGAAACTGAGGCTCCGTGGTAAACTGTGGTAACATGAAGAGCCGTTTGGGAGCCGAAACAGCCGGCGCTTTAAGAGAGCCGAGCCAAATGATCCGGCTCACTAACGTAAAAAGACAGTATCTGTAAGGGACAGATACTGTCTTTTTAGCCCTGGTCTGGCGGAAACACTGCTCCATAGTGTTTCAGAAATAATCCTTGATGTGGTTTGTACCATACTATGGCGTTTAATCACTGCAGCGTTTAACTGAGAATCTCTCTAGAAATCTCTCTTCAGAAGAGAGCTCATGCATGCTCCAAAGGGGCGTGGCCAGCAGTAGCTCGGCAACATTTAAAACTACGGACCCAGAATCAGCACTTTAGTAACAGGGCTGAAATAGAGGGGTGTGAGGCAAGGCTAGAATGGGTGATCTGTTTGGTATTTTGAGCAAAACACTTCATAGACATGTTTCTTATATATCTGAGACTTATAATACATGCCTAAAAATAGTATGATAGGAGACCTTTAAATCTATGTACCAGAGCAGCACATAACTGACAGGAGAAACTGCAGCAGTGAGACATGGGATGCTGACGAGGCTGACATTTCCCCCAGAGCATACGTCAGTGTTTGGCCACACAGCTTGCTCTCTGCCCCCGGCCTCGTCTCCCTCCTCTGGGATCCAGTGTGGAACCCAATCCCTCTGTCGCCCCGTGACCCAGTAACACTGTCCTCCATCCCTTTAATGTGTCTCCAGAGTGCAGGCCAACATCTATCTGCAGGATACTTCCACTGTCAGACATGTAGAGGAAAGTCACATTTTAAAGATTAAAATATAGAATCCCTACTGTTTTAAATGCTATTTTATATTAGGCGCAGTAACCTGCTATTTTAATTACACATTTGTCGTATTGTTAATGTTATGGAGGGATATAAAACTAGGCTTGGGCGATACAGAGAAAATGTAATATTAGGATATTTTTGAACACATACCTCAATATTTCAAAACGTGAACAGTATTGTAGGATTGACCATCATGGCTTTATTTTGATAAATAATGAACAGTAATGTGGATATAATGACTAAGTGGGTAAAAGCAAGAAATAGAACAGCATAGCAAGTTCCGAAAATTACAACATTATGGATGTGCAGCCTTTGAAACAAGGAAAAAACATCAATAATGCCATAACATGACAATCAAAGACAATATCTTATCTCATATTACAATATTGATTTAATATCAATATAGTGCGTATTCTTTATTGTGAACTAAACATTGTTTTTTGTTTGCACTGGATTTTTGTTTTTTATATTATTATATCATTCTAGTTTTTTCTTTTTTTTCTTTCTTTAACATTGGAGAATACAAAATGGCTTTACCATATCGTTATTTGACATCGACTTTTTTCTATTTACTGAATGACCAGAAAACGCGTTATATCATGTATATATCATATATATCATTATTGTGATATGAAATGGCCTATACCTATTGTTTGGCAATATGGAAGCCTAATTGTTGCGGGGGAAGAGACAGTACAAAGCACAGTAGCCAGTCCAAATATACAGACCCCCTCAAAGCAATGTGAACAGCTGCAGCCTGCAGATAAACTGCTAAGTCGCTCTTTTTAAGTCCTCCTTCTTAGAGGAAAAGAAACAATTATTAAGAACACATCAAATATTTCACCCCATTGGCAAATATGTATCAAATTCCCATCCTCCACCAATTGTAACCGAACTTGCACGGTGGAAACTTCTCAGCAGAAAATGCTGCCGGGGTAATTCCATCCTCCTCTTCCTCTCTCGGCCTCCTCACACTCAGCCGAGCAGCTTAGGTTCCCCCCTGGAGTGGCTTAAAGACAGAAAGAGCATAAAAACAACAGAAGCCAGTTCCAATAGGAGAAGAAAAGAGAAACGTTTACAGACACCTGGAGAGCTAATACTGTATGACCCTGCTGACCCCCCAGACTCACTTAAGCTTCTTGATGAAGAAATGATTCTCCCACCGTTTACTTCCTTCTACTCCTCGTTTGTCTCCTGAAGCTGCTGGCACACAGTCTCTCTCTCTCTCTGGCTGTGTACTGCACAGTGTGCTCAGTATTGCTTTCAGCTTTCCTGCTGTTAATGTGGAGGAATTGAGAGAACCGGACTATTTTAAATGATCCCCTGAACGTTTTTACTCTTACGTTAAATGGAGTCTCTGTCCCTCTGTATCACTCTTTCTGTCTGTCAATCCCAATATCAAACACATCTATCGGCCATGTGTGGGGTAAAATACATTTCTGTTTCATTTCAAATGGATTTATTGCAATTCATTTAGCTGACACTTTTATTCAGCGCAACCTACATAAGTGCATTTAACCACGTAGACACAAACTTAAAAATAGTATATAGTAGTAGAATAAGCGTTCCTAATAACGGGGTAGTAGGGTACATCTGCAATCATTTCGAAATATATATTTTAACCATTTACACTGTGGTTTAGTCTTGATAAAAAAGTTCAGTCTCTCAATCTCATGAATTTCTTTAATTGATTTTGACCCGATGGTCTACTGTAGGAGGTTTGGCTTGTATTCATGTAGGAGTAATTGCTCTTTTTACGGCTACAGTGAGCATTCTCAGGAGGTATCGATCACCCCCTGTTATTTCTACTGCTAGGTCTCCCAAATAAAAAACAACTTATGTGTGTTTTTGTTAAAACTAGCATCTCAATACCATTGTTGTACCCTAGGAGGATAAAATGTGGCATGGAGGTCAAGTGTTATTGAGGCTATGTGTTGTGTGTGTGAATCATACAGTCTATAGTGTGAATACATGAAGGTGTGGATGCATGTGCTTGTCATATAGTATGTTTGTCTTTTTAAACGTTTGTGGGTCCCACTCTCTTTGTCATAATTATCTTGCCATCATCCATCTCAAAACACCACAGTATATACCAACGCTCTCTCCACATTTTCAATATATCCTTGATAAAAGAAAAATCAATCCAATAGTGGAGATGTCTCGAACCTGACTATGAAGGATGTCATTCTCCAAACTCTACCATTAGGTGGCACTGTGTATCCATCATTGTTGCAGTGTCAAACAGCACATACATACATACCTCTTATAACACCTACCACTGCAATACATACAGTATATGAATAACTCATCATTACGTCTATGCGTAAAATGTCTATTTAAATATCTTTTGCCCAAAAGTTATTTGCAGGACAGATTACATGAACGGGTGCACTGTTGATCCTGTGGAATACCCAGCTAAATTCCTGCACAAGCTGCTTAATCATAGGTTTTACATAACATTTTTAACATTAAGCTGAAATAACATTTTTAGGAGTGTAGCCAATAAAGCCTAAATATACTGTCAGAGCAGTTTACAAAATAAACATGAGCGCTGCACTCGGTAACCTCTGCAGCTCTGTTTGTTTACCTCAAAGTGTTTCTGCTTATTTCTCTACAATTAGATTTTTTTATTTTAATTGCAACTTTGCCACAAATCAAAGCAGGAATAAGTTCATCAGGCAAAAGCAAGTTGTTTTGAAATGACTTGCAAAATAATACAGTTCAACATTCGCTTGTACTTGGACGTTTTTGGCTTAATATAACAGGGTAGTAATATGTAACGTTTTATTTGTTGTGTTTTAGGACTTGGTGTTCACAGCCTTAAGACCGGGCATGATGGGACACACAGACGTGATGATCCACTGTCGAAGCTCCGCCACTTCCACGATGCGGCCCTGCCAACCCACACCGCCACCCAAGTTCCTGCTAGCTGCCACGCCCAGGGTATGTATGTGCGTGTGTGTGTGTGTGTGTGTTTGTGTGGACAGTTTGTGTGTGTGTGTGCTGACCCATGCAAGACAGACAAGCCTTTGGGTGGTCGTGGAAAGGGAAGAGGGAAGCGCTGTGCACATTGCCTTTGTAGGTTTTCCACAATGAGCAACTCTTATCTGTGAAGTGTGTGTGTGGTTGGGGTGTGGGGGTGACCGCTGTGGCTTCCCGCTGCATTTAAAACAAACGGAGCCTCTAAAAAAAGGGTTTCTTGCTCAGGTTGTTCTCCAGTGGTTAAGCTTCCTCTTCCCCCCCCCTCCAATATACACACTGCCACACATACACACACTCCAACATGCATAGCCACACACAGAACCTGCTGATTCAGTCAAACCGGCTTGTATGCAGTGGTTTTATAGATCTCTTGGTGGTACATTTATCAGCGTTTTTTAATCTATAGTTCAATTAAAAAGCACTTGAAACATAGCCTCGTGCAGAAAAAAGCAAATGTATTATGTATAAAACAAATGCAAGGTATAAATAATTAAACAAAAGTAATGCAATCATGGTTGTTACACATTATCCTAAAAAACATATCCTTCTCTCCTCAGCACACATTGTTTCCTTTTGTTTCAAACGTGTGAAACGCTCATCTCTCTTTTTCGGTTTCCTAGGTTACAGCAGTTCCCATGGAGCGTTATTGTGATGACCGCAGTGCAGAGTACGAGTGGCGGGTGACGCGCGGCGGGGGGGGGCGCAGTCTTCAAACAGTGTTTCCTCTACGGCTCTCCTGAACTTGCCTCGGATTGGCGTGTGAGGTCCAATTCCTTCTACCCACAATGCCCTGGGGGTGTGATGGCCCTCTACCCACGACATGGATGGTCCTACATCCGGATACCTGGTAAGGACTTTGTGTTTTTGTGTTGTGTTAATGTTGTTGATATACTTTGAACTTAAGATACTGATGGGATGTCTTTATTGGTCAGTTGTGCTGTAGCTCACACTGGGGAAAGGGTAACACATAGTGTCTAATGTCTATTAGTAAAAACAATTGGGACTGTTAGTCTATAGCGGCTGCCTGCATTGTCTTGGGAAAAATGAGTTGAAAATGTTTCAAAAATAAAGGTGATTTTTAAAGCTTATAACTTCAACCCACCTTCACTTTCATTTGCTCGAGTCATATTAGTGTTAAATATTGTTTTCTAACAATCCTAGAGGGTTTTGGTGTAAGTTTATTGGTTGATTTAGTTCGTAAAGATAAAGTAGTTCCTACATTAAACCACTCATAACAAGGTCTGTGGGTTATCTTTTTTTAATTTATTTATATTTTTTGTACAGGCTAAAGACACAAACATGGACATAACAATAACATATAGGAGATGACATTCCCATCTCAGACAAAACCAAAACTGTGGGTTATCTTGAGTTACGGATCATGGTACCAGAAAAGAGACATTGCATGTTTTAATTTTCCGAATGTACTGTGTTGGCAATGGGAGTAACGAAAGCCAAATGCCATCTAGTTCCATTATGTTCAAGGGGAGTCATAGACATAGACACCTTTACTGCTGTTATCTTCAACTTTTGGCAACTCACAAACAAACTAGACTGATGAAAAGCAATTATACTTCAGGTGTACTGTCCCTTTAATAGAGCTGTTTTATTAACTGCTGGATATCCAGTTTTGACTGAAGGGTGAAAAAGGGGCTCCCGTGGGAGAGTCCACAGAGGCCAGCCCAGGGTCAGCAGGTCAGAGCCGGGCACATCACTCTCCTCCATCCTGGCCTGTCTGTCTGCCAAACAGCCAATCCCTCACTATCTAATGGAGCTGCCCAGATAAAGGGCTTCTGCACAAGTTCACTCACATTACCAGCGAGTTTCCGTTAAGGTGTGAATACCGGTCCGTGTGTGTGTGTACGTGTGCTTACAATCGCTTTTATCAGAAGAGCTTAGCTTGTGGAGTTGAGGGTCAGATGGGGCAGAGTGGGAGCTGATTCTCTGCCAGCGTTCAGAGGACTGATGGATGTCCAGGGTGAGAGAGGTCATTACTGTTTTACAGACAACACTTCCCTTCTCACTGACCCTCTCTACGTCTGATAAAAAAAGTCTCCGTCATGGATTATGATGACTGCTCTCTTTTGTTTTGTGTGGCAATAGAAGTTTCTGGCACGGATATTGGACGTGTTTGTCCTTTTCAGTGGTGGAATGTTATAAAGTACATATACTCAAGTACAGTATACTTGTATTTTACCTGAGTATTTTAATGCTTTGCTACTTTATACTTCTACCTTACTACATTTTGGAAGCCATTAATGTACTTTTTACTCCACTGCTTAATTTGACAATTAAGATACTAATCACTTTACAGATTCAGATGATTAGCTAATGCAAATTGTATATCAGGATTCATGAAATAAATTAATATTGACGAATAATTGTTATTTTTAATTACAGCTCAGATAAGCTGAACCTTTATCACCTGTGATAGACACTTGAATGCATCAATAATCATTATCCAGTTATTTGGATACTGAAATGGGTTATTTTATATATAATGTTTACTTTTGGAACTTAATTTATATTTTGATTTGAATAAAAAAATATTGCTTTTATTTAAGTAATATTTTGAATGCAGGATTGAATTCGAATATTTTCCTTTCTTTCCCCGTACCCATCTGTGTATACATGTGCTTGTGAGAGTGTTTGTGTGTAAAAGTGAGAAACCAAACAAGTATTTGTGTGTCTGTGTGAGAACAGTCTGAAAGCTCTTGTGAAGTTATACGGCAGACAAAGCGAGGAAGTTTAGCTACTGGTCATTGTTCAAGTGCTTAGTTAGGTAACACTAATAGAGAGAGAGAGAGAGAGTGTGTGTGTGTGTGTGTGTATGTGTGTGTGTGTGTGTGTGTGTGTGTGTGTGTGTGTGTGTGTGTGTGTGTGTGGTGTGTGTGTGTGTGTGTGTGTGTGTGTGTGTGTGTGTGTGTGTGTGTGTGTGTGTGTGTGTGTGTGTGTGTGTGTGTGTGTGTGTGTGTGTGTGTGTGTGTGTGTGTGTGTGTGTGTGTGTGTGTGTGTGTGTGTGTTGTGTGTGTGTGTGTGTGTGTGTGTGCGCACACTAGCGTGTGCACTTAAGGGAACTGTGAGGCACTCACAGGGAGCCCTGAGGTGTCTCTCACCTCTCTCCGCACACTCTCCCACGCTGCCCTTTTTCACACGCAGTCAAGAGGACAAGCCTCCATCTCTCCGGCCAACGGACAGGACGGGGGCGCTGATCTGAAATCAGTATCTGGCCAAAGCCTCTCAGTCCGTCTGGTCTCTCACTTCTTTCTCAGCCTCAGTAGGAAGGAAGTGACCCAACACTCCGGCACCCGTCCTCCGCTGAACACATTGTTGCCACATCAAGGCCTAGATATGTACAGTAGCTAAGCTGAAGTTTCCCACCCTCCCTCTCCTCTGCACTCCCAGCCCCGCACCTTTCTAGAACAAATGGCAGAGCTGAATAACTGTTTGTTTTGAGCGCCATGGCGTGAGTACGGCTGCCCACTGATATCGACGGAGGAATCTAATCAGAGGACTTATTAAGAATCGGTCCGTAGATCAGGAAAAAACAATTGAGGCCTTAATGTCTTGGGTCTCAGATTTGTTTGTTTTTTATGTTATTGTGATAGACACATTTCCCTGGGGAAACTATGTTTTGCATTCAAAAACATAGATCTACTCTTTTTTTAACAGCATTAACTAGGAGATCCTAGACCTTTACCAAGACTGATCCCTGTCGGAGATATTGAAGTAAAAAGCAATTTGTGTATCTGTTCCAAAACGAAATGGGTTCTTCCTTGGCCCATGTTACACCCTTCCACTAGATGTTATGATAATTAGGCTTGGAGTTTTTATTTAATATTGCTGACAAACGGACAAACTAACCGTAAACATACGGTACGATACTGCTGCACCTGATCAGAGCGATAGCAAGGCACATGCAGGGTATTATGAGTCAGGAATTGAACCCATGTTACGCATGTATGCAGTAATGTAGTCTTAGCCACCAGGACGCGACAGACCAAGAGGTTTTGACTATAGTCAAGAGACATTCCAAGCCTTGTTTGTTTGCTATAATGCTGCTGTTCTGTGGTCACCTGTCTTTTGCATTGCGGAAAAACTTGTCACATACAGACACATTTCATGTCGATAAAGGTTCAAAATCACTTCTGACGGCAAGTCGTTTTGCGTGCTATAGGATTATTTGAAGAACATTCCAGTGTGACACAGAAATAACATCCCCTCGCTGTCTGTGTGGGCTCTGCATCACTTACAGTAATTATAAGGAGCCATTCCGCAAAATGACGGCCTTCTCGCTACAGCGCCAACTTTTGGCTCCTTTTTTGCTAGCTTTATTGCAAGCTGGGAATCGACTGTGCTGTAGAGGAAGATATGTGTGTGAATGGGATGGTAAAGGACTATTTTTGTGCCTCTTGTTTTGCAGCTAGTTTTTAATGACTGTATTTATGTGTATCAATAAGACTGTGAGACAGAGAGAGAGTCAGGTCTGGCCCAGCCTACATCAGGCTGTGGGAAATGCAGTTCTGCCTTCCTGTCCCTTCAAAGAAACTCTGCTCTCCAGCAAAATGGCAGGAAGCGTCCCCCGGCCCTCTGATAGACGGGCACACAACAACACAGTCGGCCAGCCTCACCACACCACCGTCTGACTCTGCCCTTTTTCAACGTGCATTAAACTGGCACCGGCAACCGTCTGCGGAATTTCTTTTTTGGCAGCATAGAAAAAAACAAAAACCTTCCAGCCAAGTGTGTAAAGGGAGAAGTTCTGACTTCCTTATCCAAGTTATGGCTATAAAAGTGCCCCAAAGTGTGTTCACTGATACTTTAAGAAACTTTGATCCCAAAGTAGACTGAAGGGGGAGACATTAGCCACATTATACTTCCATGAGGATATCTTTGAACATGGAAGCCGAGTTGTATCTCAGCTCACTTTGTCCCTTAGCCAACTAGCTTTCATCTGCGGTGTGTGTCGAGTCAGTGCTGGCCGAGAGTAACTAGCAGTGATCTGTCTTAATGACAGAGTTCACCGTGGGCTCCTGTGGTGTGGTGAGAGTCCTCATCAGACTGTCTGTCTCTACCCCTGCTTAACGGCTCCTATAGAACCAAGGGAAGCTTCTGGCATGTTCGTGGAGAGACAGACAGTGATGTATCTGCAAACACATTCCATTTATAAATACATGAACGCAATCCATCACGCATTTTCCGTCAAAAGTGGTCACACAGACACATCTTTCGGGCTTTTTGGAGTGTGTGTTTGTCTTCTCCGGAGTTCTAGAGTGGAGACACTAGAGTGTGTTCTAGTTGCAGACGGAAGTCTTTTTGGGGGGGTTCCATTTGTAAAGCTTCACTAGAGCAACCAAAAATCTGTTTCCATCGCTTCCAAAACCTCCCGCTGGCATCTGGCTCTTAGCCGTACTGATGCTTCGGCTGTGAGAAAATTAAGTTTAAGTCCCACATTTTTGTCAATACATGCATAAGCAGCGAAGTAGTGTCGGGCTAATATTTCCATCATCAACGGCTCCGAACAAGTGTTGCCCATTGACTTATTGATCGCACAGTGTAATGTATCATTATACAGTGAGGAGCTGACGCTAGGTTCGATCGCTCATTCGACCCGCTCTGTGGCCCCCCATCTGTCTCTCTTTCTCACATAACCACCCATCTATCTTCTTTCATCAACTTATTTTTTTTTTCACTCTACGATCTCGCTGCCATTCGCCTCCACCCTTTACGATCACATCTGGCCCACTTTCCCTCCCTGGTTGGTGTGGCTCTGCTCTTTGGCTTTTGCAGCAGCAGTAGCAGAGGGGACAGCACAGGACAGAAGACTGTAGTGGCGTATTAATGGAATTAGCGTCGTAGTTGGTTTGGGAGTATCAGGCGCCAGGCACCAGGGCTGGGCCGGGGTTAATTAGCTGGCAGCAGGCCTCTAATTGGGTCAGGACCGTGTCAGGCCCCTGGCTCTGGCCCTACAGGGATTGGATTACACTGTCGGGGGACAGACAGTAGGGGGAGGGAGAGAGGGTGTACAAGGGGGAGTTTGTAGTAGCAGAGGAGGGAGCTGGAGGGTGCTGTGGATGTGGTAGAAAAGGGGGAGAGAGGAGGGACAGGGGAGTGTAGCCTAATCTGCCGGCAGGAGGTGAGGATGGGAGGAGATGGGGAGGGCTGCTGTTTAAGACTGGATTGGATTTAGGTGGGTGTGTAGGGGTAGGGGGGTGCTATGAGAGGGGGGCAGGGCAGGTGGTGAAGCTTGATATGTGTATCCATAGCAACAGCAGAGTGGTGTGACACCACATGGGATTTGCTTGTGTTTTTGGGGTGTGGTCTTAACGCAGGCCTTGTTCTTTGTCACTCCACAATTAGAAAGTTGTTTTGTGTCCATTTCTGTGCTTTTGAATGCAAATCATAGTTGTTGTCACTTGTGTATTCAAATAATGATGTGCTGTTTTTTGTGTGAGGTGGGCTGAGACCCTTTTGACTTTTCCCTCAGCTATATAAAAACTAATGGTCATTTTGGCAGGTTTTTTTTATTTGGTTCTATTTTACTGGAAAAAATTCACAGACCCCGGGCGGTACGAGAGCAAATCCGCAACACAACAAATGCTTTAATCAACCAATCCAAACCGACCCTAGGCCGCAAACTTTATGAATTCTAGGAGCACAATTTTCCCGAATGGAGAATGAGACTACATAGATGGACCGGATGCCCAAGTGTGTTTTTTTTTTTGAGAGAGCGAAAGGGACCCCAGTATGGGCAAACTGAAGGTGGAATGTGACACAATTTAAAAAAAGCTAGAGTTTTTATTTTTTGTCTTTTTTTTAAAACAACATTATTGCATCTGGATATTGTCACAGTGTTGAATTACATTGATGTCATGTCTTCTCCATCTTGTCTTGGTCATGGGAGAAAAGGTCTTTGACTATCAAATGTCGTAATTGTTTTCGCAAAAGAAACAAACACTACTACGCAACACTTTTTTACTGAATTTCATATAAACTAAGGTCATTTTATTTAAATCGCCACACGAGTTAGACATATCCATTTGAATCCTTCTAAGCTCTCCGTAATTCATGCTACATGCTTAATGCTTCCTGTTTGCTCACATTTATGACCAATGGTCATGCATTTCTCTTCGGCCACATTTAGCTTATACTGTAAGCCATAAGTGTTATGTTGGAATGAGGCAGACCACCCAAGCTCTCCCTAAAACCCAATTATTAATTTTCTTGGCCTTGCTTTATAGGTCATGGCAGCGATATTTAGAAATAGAGATTTTCGGTATGATGCTCTAAATGATTTTGAACTCGGCCACCTCATTCTCTGTAAGCCACATCGCCGGCCTTTAGGGAGTGTGGATAGTCTCAGAGCAGCAGTCAGTTTTCAAAAAGGCCTCGTCAGTACTGTTGGATTTCCTGCTTCCCTTTGGCAATGTAGCATCTTCTTTCTACCAATCATTTCTCGATCAGCTAAATGCCACTGACTTTCAAATATGTTCAGATCTGATAGTGCCCTAAGCTAGTACACAAAGATCAAAATGTAAGAATATCAATCGTGTAGTCAAATATCAGAAGGTGGCTGTCTTAAGGAGCTCTGCTATTAGGGGTCTCCTTCATAATCCCGGAACAAACAAAAGGATTACCCTGACTGACATGCTTCTTCGTACTGAAATAATACGTATAATAGTATTTAAGTGCTTAATATGGGATTTTCTGATTTACAATTTACGCCCTTCAAGAATCAGATTAAATACTCACAACATTTTGTCCTCTTTGGCCACAGAAATCCTCCGATAGGGGCTTTAACATGCTTCAAACGTGACATTGGAGTCTAGAAGCTTAAATGTAATCTGCTAAACAGAAACAGATTGGCGGCAGTGGTTGAGCAATATCGCCTTATAGAGCATTGGCGTCTTTGCCAAATGTTGGTTTGTATCTGGTTGGTGGGCAGTGTGGCCCCCGCAGCCCTGGTTGGTGCCCTTGACTGAGCAGCAACGGTGGTAATACTGGCACCTGCGGTAAGAAGGGCCACGTCTGATCTTAACCATGACATCACCACCGCCGTCACCGTGCTAATACAGCCTCACTGTAGCCGGAGCCACCACAGACCCCTTTTACTTTCTGTCTGGAACTTTTTCCACATGTCTCACGCTTGCTTCCTTTTTACTTTTCAATTCTTCCACTTTCTTGACGCCAAGGCCAATTATAGGCCTATGATGGCAGGATGTTTGTGTATCTCAGGGACTGCGGTGCGCTGGTCTCTTGGTACATACCGAATTGAGCCACAGCAATGTCAAACAACTGCCTACCGTACAGTACGTCGTAAGTTATGTTGGGTCCGCCTTAGATTTTGTATATTGTCCCTTGCTATTACAGTGTTATGAGTATATTTTAATATCCTGCTATGCCCTCTTTACTGTCTTTTTCTCTATGTTTGAGTCCAAATGTAGTTATTTTACATTCTCAGAGAATGTTAACAAGGAATGACAAGAATAGTAAAACGCTTATTCACTATGCCCGCAATACACCAGCTGTCTGGAGCAAAAAAACCAACAAAGTGAAATAAAAGACATAAATAAAACTGATTCAGAGCTCACTCTGTCAGCACATGGGAGCTCTACGACTGTGACCAAACAGGCTGAATGTGTTTGACATTCTGGCACCACTCCACAGTGACCTATAGGTGAGCTTTCCAATACCTCCCCAGAGTGTTTCCGCTGTTCATCTGTTCTATTAGTTCCTCTTTAACACCTCTACAGGGCCTGACCTTTTTCGGGGGGCTATACCAAAGGGTCACGGGTCAGGGTTCAGCCGGAGTATGCATTAGCATAGAATGCTACTGCTTGAAAAGGGAGAAAGATTCAGTCCCTGAGTTTTGTTGGATCATCCAGAATACTTAGCGCTTTTGATTATCTTCAAGCAATAATTACACTAGGTTTAGCAGATACTGTGGCAGGTAGTCGTGATTTGCTTGGGGTTCACGTTTTCTGGCCATGTTTTGTGGGTTAATAGAACATGATTTGAACACAGTTGGTTTCCTTACTTTGGCAAAGCAAGAAAATAAGGTGGGGATATATTTATAAGTCCAGGTTTTCGCATTACAACAGGGCTGAGGAACAAGTGTCCCAATTTGAGCGCAATATGGCCGAGCCCTATGCTCCCATAGGGACTCTCTTGTAACCCCGGCCCGACCCTGGACCTGGCCTTAGGTTTTTCGTGCTCAGGGTCAGGACCTCTGTTCAAACACCATAGTGTGCCTGTCGCCCGGTCGATGGCAGGCCCTTTTCCCATTGTGCCATTGTACCAGATGAAGTTAATTCCTCATCAGCTGGACATGAAGGGAACCACTTGAACAGCAGACCCAGGGTCAGATTGCTTCCCATTTGAGGGCCAAAGAGCGCCTAATACGATGCTGGCAGTAATGTGAGCAAGACCAACTGCCGGGCCTATTTGCTCTTCTTTTGTGCCATTGTTTGAAATGGAGTGTAAATCACGCTTTTCCTCGCAATTTCTCTTTCTTTCTTGTTCTCTCTCCATCGCTCTTGTTCATTCTCACTCTGCGCTCTCATCAGCAGTCCAGTCAATAAGGGCCCATGCTTTATTTAAACAATCGGCAATCAGGGACAGATTTAGCAGGATTGATCCAGGGTTGATCCGCTCCAGTGAAAGGGTCTTTATGCTAGAGAATACAGTCTTAACGAAGACTTGTATTGATTAGGGAAGAGTTCATAATCTCTGCATTAATTGGGCAAGGCTGTTCCGCATTCTGCCATACTAAATATTTGCAATATGGGGAAAGGTTGTCTTGAAAAGCTTTGATTGTGGATTTCTTTACATAAACAAGTCCATTATGGTTATATAAAGAGTGCTGCAGGAATGAGTCCTAAAACATGGAAATGAGTGATCATTTTTGCATTTGGGTTTTTTTGACGGTTTTTGGTTCTATGGCATAATATACATCGAGAAATATCCCGCTCTAGAATTTTGAAGCTTTTATTTTAATAACAAATACACACTAGAAACTAATCCCCCTTAAGCCAAGTAGTGTTGAAGTGATGTGACCATGGTGTAGTTTGTTTATAGCTGTTAAAACGTTAACTTTTTTTTCTTCTAGGCGAATGCATTTACGCTTTAAAACCCTTTGAAATGGTGTTCATTTGCAAAGATTATTTAGCTGAACAAAACATGTAAGTATCATAAACGTTTGTTTTCCACTGATCTTATTTTCTGCTATAATCCGAAATCCTTTGGAGAAATCGTATTGACTTTTAGTTAAGGGAACCAGTGCGTTGCTACATTTTGTGCTACAAAAAAGTGTCATTTTACTCTGTCTGCATAAAATGGTTAACATGAGTTTCTCGCTATACAGGTAGTTTTGATCCTCACCTCTCTGACTCTTCCTCTTTTAGATAAGGAGAGCCTGATCACGGACAGTGGCAAGCTCCACACCTTGGATATCCTGTTGAGTCGGCTAAAGAACCAGGGACACAGAGTCCTCATCTACTCCCAAATGACCCGCATGATAGACCTGCTGGAGGTATAAACACACACACACACACACACACACACACACACACACACACACACACACACACACACACACACACACACACACACACACACACACACACACACACACACACACACACACACACACACACACACACACACACACACACACACACACACACACACACACATTCTCTCAAAGCTTTGCTCTACTGAAATAAATGATTCATTAAACAGTACACAGACTCCCACAAAAAAATCGAGAATTATTTGCTAGATGCATATTAATTCATTACTTTTTATTTAGCTGACACATTTATCCAAAGCAAATCCAAACCTTTAAGTGCCACGAACAGAAATGATAAGGTTTTTTTTCTTTTTTAACACACCTTTTAATATGTCGTTTGCATATATCTGTGATTCTCGTAGCCAGTTGTTGAACTGGTCGGCTTCCACTGGCGAGGTATTGAACTCCAGTACCTCTAATCATCCTTCCTGTCCCTCGTTAGTGCTCTGATTAGACGGCTCATTAACAGGTCAAGGCTAATTATCAGGGTCTCATCTGTAGGGGAGGCAGCCAGATGGGAGGGATGACTGGAAGGAGCGAGGCGAGGTGGAGGGGAGAGGGGGAGATGGGAGTGGCAAGGGGCCTTGGGGTTAGAAAATCTGCAAGAGACAACGGTAGATGAGGATGAAGAGGGGGAGAGGAGATGGGAACAAATGAGGGAAGATCAACACCAATGAGAAATAGTAGTGTGATTCTTTTTTAAGTCCCTTTTAGACAACAATGATGAACAAAACCACTTCATGAAACACGGAAAAGTGGCTTTGTGTTTAAGCTTTTGAAAGTCAGAAGCAATCAGGTTGAAGGTCCCACAGAAAAAACAACAGTGAAAAGCCATTCTGCCCGTAGTCATGTGTCAACAGCCCCGGTACGTACCCTATTGTTGCCTCCTTATTTGTTAGAAACATCGCTATGGAGCCAAAAGCTTCTGGCATGATGTCATTGGGAATTCCTTCCCTGTTCACACGGTGCTCTGCCGTTTCCACGGCCAAATCTTTTGATGGCCGATGGACCCAGCCCAGGTGGTTAAGAACCGTCTTCCTGTGTGTCTGGAAAACATTGTGTGTTAGGCCGTAAGAAAACTGCAACGGTGAGAGTGCTATAGATAGACCCTCCAGAAAAACGCGATTCTGCGATCGCAGAATTTACCGCATAATCAGCAAAATGGCGCAGATTTTTAAAAGGCCGCATATTTATCAAAAGGCCGCATAATCCCCGCATTTTTCCACACAAAGTTGAGAAAAAAAAAAGTTAACTCGTCTTGATGTGAAGTGATGATGATGACGCGACGTCATCAGCTCGAGCATCACAGAAGGTAAACAACACCCTAGAGTGAACGCGTGGAGCTCACACGAGAGAGAAAACACCAAGATGAAAAAATGTCATCCATCTCATTTACAGACGAACATTTCTGCTAAAGATCGGGCAAAGCAGTTCCCCGATGTCTTGCACGAAAGTGGGGGGAAACTATTCTGCACCCCGTGCAACTGTGTGTTGGAGCATAAGAGAACATCGTCGGTGACGACCCACTTTGATTCATTCAAACTAGGGATGTCCCGATCACCTTTTTTTGCTCCCGATCCGATTCCGATCATTTGATTTTGACAATCTGCCGATACCGATTTTTCCCGATCCGATCTTTATGCAATGCATTAAGAGAAAAAAAAGGTAACGGATAACGGCTGGTCATCCAACGCGATGAATTCAGCTATCTTGGCTGTTATTTTTTTGGCCTTTTCACTGTTCTGGGGCAGTTTCTCTTTCCTTTTAAAAGTCTCTGAAAGTGTCGGTTGTTTCAGTGCCGTTAAGGCCCTGACACACCAAGCAGTCACCAGAGGACTCGCCGACGCCGGCTGTTGCGTCGCGGTGTTCTCCTGCGTCTTGGCCATGTGTCGCACGGGAACACACCGCAAAGACTTCAGTGCGTGAGTGGCAATAACTCTCCTTACCAGCAGGCGGCGGTAGTGTGTATTCGTCATTCAAAATAGGCAACAACCGGAAGACAGAGAAGAAGAACAGACTGGGTGATATAAACAACAACAAATAGTGTGTGCAAACTGCAGCCTGGTTATGATCCACTGCTGTCTGCCCGTCTTTGGTGCTCCACAACTACCCGAAGGGGCAAGTCTCCTGTACCGGGTGTACTGGGTTCGCAGAGAATCCCACTTCTTCCTCAGCTCTTTCTCTGAAGCACACAAATAAACGATGTAAGCATTGTGGCTAGTTAGCATGTCCAATTCATATCTATATGCAGTGCCAAACTGCACAGCTAGCAACAGCTAGCAACAAGATAACAACAAAACACAAGGTTGAAATAACAAATTACATTTCACGTTAACGTCACTGTACGCTGGCAAACAATAAAAAGCCAACAATATCTGCTAAAGAGCTCAATTGATGAAAAAGATAATCTTACCCGAGAAACCAAGTTGCGTTTCAATCTCTCGCCAGAGTCCGGTTTTCACTACTTTTTTTTCGAGTACCTTTTCTCTGTGATGTCGTACAGAGCTGGCCTCTCCTGGATCAAGGTGATGAGCAGGTCTTCGTTTGCGTCATTCCAGATCGCCATGATGAGATGAAAATGAATATCAGTCTGTGTGTGCCTTCTTAAATCGTTTGTTTACGTCCCTCACTTCCGTTTCGCTTCTCATGCACTGATTCGCTAGCTGAACAGCCAATCAGAGTGATTGTTTGGTCCGACTGCCAGACCCGATGCATGGCCATGCATCGGGACAGGCAGTCCAAATAAGGCGTGTCACGGTCGACGGTGCGGGACACACCAAATTGAGTTTGGGCGACAGGACACGCTTCGTCTCCCGACTTACGAAAACAGCCGAAATCGGCCTGGTGTGTCAGGGCCTTTACCTGAGTGGCCGCTGTGTACTCGTCGTGTTGTTGGTGATTGTTTCTCATGTAGCGTATTAGATTGGTCGTGTTGAACGTAGCTCTGTTCTTTCCACCACGCGGAACCTCCGCCTTGCAAACATTGCATCTGGCTGTTACACTGCCCTCGCTTTCAATTTTATAATACTTCCAAACTCCTGACATTTTCTCTGTCCCGACTCCCAAGTCACCAGCTGAACGTAGCCTCTCGTTAGCTTACTGCTACTATTAGACACTGCGCCCACTCTGTTGCCAGATTTGAGAGAAATAACCAGGTCTGAAAACAAGCCCAAAAGAAGCAACACATACATGATGTTGTGTAATTTTAAACCAAAACTAAGTCCTCAGGATGACTTTAAGACGTGAACATGGTCATTTTTGTTTTGTAACATTAAATAAAATAATAAAAATATTTTATTAAAAAAAAAAAAAAAAAATCCCGATCCCCGATTTTTTTCTCCCGATTCCGATCTTTTGAAAATCACGTGATCGGCTCCGATCCCCGATCACGTGATCGGATCGGGACATCTCTAATTCAAACATTCGAAAATGCTTTCTGCTGCTGCGGACAAGAAAGCCAAACAACTCACGTTCACCGAGGCATCAACCTCCAAAACCCTTTCGAGGGCTACAAGAAACGAGGTGAGAAGCCTACAAGATTGAAGCTGGTCAGATAACGAACGAGTAAATGAAAACAGAATGAGGCGGAGATATGTGAGTGTGTGTGCGTGAGAGAGTGTGATTAAAATAGCCCAATTGCTTTTACAATAAATAAAGATTGAATGTGTTTAATTGAATAGTAAAGGGGTTTAACGTTAGTGGGAGGTTGTGTGTGAGAGAGAATAAATAAATAAGACATCCCAATATTTATTTTCCCCGCATATTTCGCTACTTCCCGCAATTTCACCGCATAAAATCACATAAAACCCCGCATGTTTGATCGCATAATCAAAGATTTTAGCCCGCATAATCAAGAATTTTTGCCCGCGTTTTTCTGGAGGGTCTATATAGATATCTTGGGTAATGAAGGCTAGTTAAATACTGTGTTTACCCTTTCAGCCATTGTCCAAAAACGTTTTGCCAGTAGTGTACTTGTTAAAGTCTTTTTTTAGCTTGAAATTACAAGGTATTGCTCCTTTTCTTCTTTAGGAGTAGTTAAAAATAAAGATCTCATATTAAGTGAATAGTTGGCGTCAAGATTTATAATGTAATATATACATGTACATGAATATACCTGTAGAATCACGATAATTATGTTATCTACTTATCGATATATGGACATGACATTGATTATTTTTATGTTTTATTTATGATTTTTTTCTATGAATTCCAAAACCCTCGAATATTCTTCAAATGAAAAATGTATTGAATTTTTATTTTTTCATATTTTAAAGGGTGTACTTTTTGGGGGGGATTATTTAATTAACTACAGTGGTCTTAAAATTACAAAAATATTGTCTACTATTGTATATATTTTCTGGGACAACAAATTATCCTAGTAGTTATTGTGACAGACCAATCAGATATAACATTTAATCACATTTGGGTATGATGCCTAGAGTTTTTGTCATGGTGACTGCCAGTGAGATGGACCAATCAAGTGTCAGTAATTGAGCATGACGGTGGCGTTCTGCTTGAATGATACAGTTAATCTTCTTCCTGCCCCAAAGAGCTCTGTTAAAGTGCCTTTTTTACGGTCTAAGTGACCTCATACAGTAATGGGAGGCTGTGCCAGCATCTCCTCTACTAATGGACTAAAGAGATCCTCAAATGAAATCATGTATTCCCCAAATCTTGCTTCAGTTTTCCTACATCGTATTATCTGTATCATCAGTCGGGGATGAAAACTCTGCAGATGGAGTTGATTTCCTGAACATGGGACTGTGACTAAGGGAAAGAGTGAAGGAGAGGCTGATGCTAATCTCTGTCATTAGCCTCATTGTTGTCGTCGCCAGTCGGCTGCCCGGTTCTTCTGGTGACATCACAGAGTTGGGTGATGGATCATTGAGATCCGGGTGGCCAGAATCTGGCAGCAGCCGATAGTGGAGCAGGACCGCCAAGTCACTGCCCTCCTGCTTGAGTGGTGTGTCTGTGGCTGCTTAGACGGCTCTTTACTGTACTGCAAGTCGGCGGTTCAGATTACAGTGCTGGCGGGAATGCCCACAATGACGAGGGTATTACAGCCCAAAAAGTCAGCCGCAGATTCTTCTTTATAAAGTGGGATACAGTAACCCATTACGCAATACAAAGCATGGCTGAAAATTGTGATTATTTATAATACATACCGACTATTTGTATTAAATATTTCTGCTACACTGAGATTGTTAATACGATAGAAAAAAACTCTAACTTGTGATGAATGAAGAGTCTGATTAAGGGATCATGGGTAGTGCAGTTTTCTTTATTGTGAACGTTAACTTTGAGGCTCTGGATGGATAGTGTTGCAGATTGTCTTCATGGTCCATGTTTATGTGGCCACTTACTGATACTAAATCATTTTAAAGAGTACTCAGCCATTTTAACATTGCACCCCTCTAACATTGTCGGGCTCATGATTTACACTGTAAAAGAAAAAATATCAAATTAGATGTGGCACAACGAGAGATATCGTAAAAAAACCACATTGCCCACAATGCAAACAGGCAGCCAAAAGTTTACTCCTAGATTTGTGTGTGTTAAGGCAGTTAGCTTACGTAGCCATCAGCCTAAGCTAAGATGAGGTAGGCTCACGTCTTTCAAACTCAACCACCCCACCCCCCCCCTTTTCCCCCCCTAAATTGTAGTCTCAACTAACGCTGACTCAAGTGACATCACTTAAGAGAATGATCAGACTTTGCGCAGCTCTATTGGGAGTTAAAAATGCTGTTTTAATATAAATGTTTCCACATATAACTCAGATGTGTACAATCTTAGGAGTCTTTTAATTTAATTGTAGGTTAATGTTATCCATTTTGATAGTTTTCCAGTGCTCGGATGGTAGAATATGCACTGGATGTGTCATGGCATTTAAATACGTTTTCACAAACTGGTTAGAATTGCAATTTATCTCTTATAAAGGTCTTTTGTTATTATAAAATGTTGGCAATCTACAGTGTTCGCTGGCAAAACTGTATTGAAAGTGCCACTCCTACGTGTTATTTTTCTTTTTAAATACTTTTTTTATGAGTTGTCGGGCTGGGAACAGACTGTGACCGTGCACACTGTGTTCCCAACCTCCGAACAGCAATACATTCACACTGTGTTCCTAGACTTTGGGGACTCATTAATGTTTAGGAAGTTGAGAACAACCTGGCTGCCACTTTTTTCTTTTTTCAAGCGAAGGTTTTAATGCACACCCAAGTTCCAACTATGAAGGTTCAAACTAAAAATGCATTTTGAGACTCTAACATAAGCCAGGAAAGAGGAAATGTCAGTGTGCTTTTTTTTTTCTCCCAGCATTCATCATTTCAAGTTTGTTGTTGTTGTCAAAACCCAGCGCCATAAATATTCTGTTTAATTAAATGTGCTCTGTAATAAGCTGCTGACAGTTTGTTGAACAAGATTAACATTTCATCCAGTTAAAGGTTGAACTGATTTATAACATTTGCAAGCATTACACAATCAGTGAAAAACTGCAGAAAGAAAGCCTTGTCACTTCTGATTAACACCAACCCCAAACAAAAATAGAGGAGAAAATTGCCAGCTGTTGAAGGTATAGATTTCAGTGGGACACCGGGACTCCACAAGCTTTAAATCATGGCAGCTGAAGCTAGCAGAGAATGTTAAATACTATGTTTAAATCTGAGAGGTGATGTATTTCTAAAATGGTCTGACTATTTAGACCATGTTTGAGATTAGGAAAGGCTGAGAAAGTCTGCAACAATATCTGCAACATCCTGCTGGCAAGCCATCAACTCAACAAGGTTAGCAGCATTATGTGTAGCGCCGTGCTAATGGTCCCTAATGTAGTGTTCACTGGGAGCAGATGGGGCTGATGGGAACAGAGCCAGACACAGGGGAAGAGGAGGGCAGGGGCCTGGCGGGACGGAGGCCCCCGAGTGTCACAGAAAACATCGTGTCAAATCATTGATATCAGTGTTAATGGTCGCGAGAGGTGACTCCTGATGTGTGCCAGTGATTGTGGGGGCGCTGACATGTTTGAGTGAAGAGGTCACCGGTTCAGGGCCGCGCTTAAAGAGAGATCAACATGTCACCTCATCACTGCTGTTGCACTCAAGAACCCCTCCCATCACACAAACGCACACACTCTTAGCTTGGCCGACTTTTGGGAGGAATAGAATATCAAATGCTGGCCTTCTACAGTGTCTCCTTAGGCACGGATTGAGGTTTCAAACCCAACAAATATGCATTCGAAATGTGGGATTTTAGAAATGTGGACGCAAATTTCGCTTTGGACAGACATTCTTACTTTAAAGATTAGTATTTCTTGATCCATGAAACTGAATAAGTACAGCTTCAGGGCTGATCTGTTCCTCAGAGGAAGTAGCGGTGCATTTTTAAGAACTTTGGAAAAACTGTTTGAGAGTCTAGTCCTTCAGGTTTGGACGACAAGAGTTTCAAAATACGTAGTAAAGGTAATCCAGGAATATTAAGTTACATACATTTGTAATAAATACCATGCAGGAGTGGATCGAGTTATTTGATTAAAGTCGTTTCAAAGTAAGGTATTCACTGATCGCATGTGACAACTTTGCTATAGCTAACGTTTTCTAATATTTGAGTATCTGGATCTCAACTGGGACTGTACGACGCCGAGTTCTGGCACATTTAAGAGAAATGCAGGGCTACACAAGAAAGGATAACAAAGTAAAGGTAGCGACTGTTAAATAGTTGTATAGCCGTGTGATGTTTGCCAGCACCCGTCACTCCCTCAGACAATACCACATCATTTTGTTCTTGGTTTTCCTAATTATAATGTCCCATTTCTCCAGGAATACATGGTCTATCGTAAGCACATCTACATGCGCCTCGACGGATCCTCCAAGATCTCAGAGCGCAGAGACATGGTGGCGGACTTCCAGAGCCGGTGGGTAAAGATACGATCTACTGTGTGTGTGTGTGTGTGTGTGTGTGTGTGTGGTGTGTGTTGTGTGTGTGTGTGGTGTGTGTGTGTGTGTGTGTGTGTGTGTGTGTGTGTGTGTGTGTGTGTGTGTGTGTGTGGTGTGTGTGTGTGTGTGTGTGTGTGTGGTGTGTGTGTGTGTGTGTGTGTGTGTGTGTGTGTGTGTGTGTGTGTGTGTGTGTGTGTGTGTGTGTGTGTGTGTGTGTGTGTGTGTGTGTGTGTGTGTGTGTGTGTGTGTGTGTGTGTGTGTGTGTGTGTGTGTGGTGTGTGTGTGTGTGTGTGTGTGTGTGTGTGTGTGTGTGTGGTGTGTGTGTGTGTGTGTGTGTGTGTGTGTGTGTGTGTGTGTGTGTGTGTGTGTGTGTGTGTGTGTGTGCATGCCACCCAAACCCTCACTTTTTTACCACTGACTGTAAATCTGACTTTCCGTTTATTGCAGCAATCAGTGAACAGTTTAATCTTACATGCGTATGTCCAAATATACGTATATTTCCATGCTCTGGTTTACATTAATGTACAGCTTGGAGCCGCCAGTGGTACTCTGGCTATTGTTGGGGGGGGTATTGAAGCAGCTTAATGCTAGGGCACATGTTTTATTTCAGTTCTGCTGCCAGACTTAAATTGGTGTGGACATTTCTGGTTCTAACTGAGTTTGTAACTCAATTTTGTGCCATGATACTTTTTAAGGTATGGACTATTACTGTTGTAATCGATATAATTTCATTTTGTGTCACTTCCTCCCTCTCTGCAGGACGGACATCTTTGTGTTTCTGCTGAGTACGAGGGCTGGAGGGCTCGGCATCAACCTGACTGCTGCTGACACTGTGAGTATTCAACACACAAAAAAACGTCACTGACAAAATATAAAAGCTTAAACAGCATTTATATTTCTTAAATGCATCAAAATACAGAGTACATTTTCAGAAAACGTAGTTTGGGAAGACCTCTGTGACCTCGTGTTCTAGATATTTTTCATCTGGCTAATTAGTGCATTTCATTAAAGTGTTCCAGACGAACGCTTTATTTGAAACACTATCTTTTCTTTCCTGAACACGATTGTTTGCAGAATGCATAGCAATGCATCTAAGTGCGACTATGAAAGATTAATACTGTTATATGATAATGGTGAAACACGGTATACCTGGATTAAGTTACCAATTCATATTTTCACATCCCAATATATTTGAATAAATAAAATGGTCACATTACACACCAGACCAGGAGAAGCGATGCATGCTCCATTATGAATGCTTTCTATCAGTTGAACAACGACCCAGCTTGACTCTCTTGTTCACCCCAATGTTTCATCACTTTCCTTTTCTTTTTTTTGGTTCTTTGGTCAATTAATTGATTCTCTTCTTTACGCATTGGGCCCCAGTATGAGCAATAATCACCACATATAGCTTGGACATGTTTAATTCTCTATAAAAAAAATATCCTGCTTTCTTTTTAACTGGCTATTTTACAACTCACTGCGATTATTTTGTTTAGTTTGTCTGCTTATACCGGGAATTAGACGCAGGTACCTAGCCATAACCATTGAGGTCATATAGAGGCATCAGTTTTAATTTAAGAACATTTTATAACCAGTCAAACTTTCTGTAGGACCTTTGATAAGATGTTGATGTAATGACAATGTGTGCATCGAAGGCGGCGGATCACTCATATATGATGATATAGTCTCTCTGTTTTTATCAATCTGAGCATAATCTCCCTCTGTGTCCCTGAAGCCCTGTTCGAGTGGGATTAGCATTCATGACAATGAGTTGACGTGACTGTTAACACGGGACATCTGTCATGTGAAAGGAAGGTTCATATCCCTGTAATTACTAGTGTCAGGAGTTAAAGAGAAGGGGGAGTGCCTGCATTGTGTTGAGCTATTATCACACATGTTGAACCGTGTGGTAAACAATAACAAAAACAGCAGAAAAGTGAAGCCTTTTTTAATGTTTTCTTTCAGGTTATCTTCTACGACAGTGACTGGAACCCCACGGTGGACCAGCAGGCCATGGACCGAGCCCACAGGCTGGGGCAGACCAAGCAGGTGACCGTCTACCGCCTGATCTGTCAGGGGTCCATCGAGGAGAGGATCCTGCAGCGGGCCAAGGAGAAGAGCGAGGTCAGAAACACAAGTGATCATTCATCCAACGCACAGAATATGATGACGGTTGCAACTTGAGTGTTTGAACCCTCTGAACACCGTTCATTCCTTATTCTGGCCTTGTTTATTTACTGCAATACAAATATATTAAACTATGGAAACGGCATGACCATGGCTAGAGGCAGAGGAAAATTACAAAAAATATTTTGTGCAGTGTCAGATTTTTAAAATGCCGTAAATTCATATAAAATACAAATACCATTTTTTTACATCTTTGATAATTTATTACAACAATACATTTTTACCTGCAAAATTTCAAATGAGGCATGTCAAATATAAGGATTTTTATGAAACATCACCATTTTAGAGCTTAGATGTTTCCTGATGGAAGCACCTGATATTGTTCGAGGACAAATTGGAAAAATGACCAAATCCAATGATTATGTTAGTGATAGCCGTTTCTGGCTATGATAAATTGTGTCTTTTTTTCGTGATGTATTTTGTTTGAACCTGCTGAGTCGTTTTGGAGTTAAAACATTTAAAAACACATATAAATCATACTGCAGTTAGGATTTAATTACAGAGTTTATTAATAGATCATTTCTTTATGTAATAAGATCCAAAGGGTGGTGATCTCAGGAGGAAACTTCAAACCCGACACACTGAAACCCAAAGAGGTGGTCAGCCTGCTGCTGGACGACGACGAGCTGGAGAAGAAACGTGAGGCATCTTTTTCTTGATTGGCCGTTTTCTTTGGACGAAAGCTAACGTCACAACTAATATACATGGGGTCTTCTCCTGCAGTGCGTCAGAGACAGGATGAGAAGAAGCAGCTGGAGGAGTGCAGCAAGGTGAAAGAGCGCAAGAGGAAGCGGGAGAAGTACGCTGAGAAGGTACAGTTCAACACGACCAGCAGGAGGGTGGTAGAACGAAGAGACAGGATGTGTCAAATGAAAAGAAAGGATAGAACAAATGTGGAATGTAAAATGTAAAAAAGGATGGCTTATTGGAGGGAGAGAAGGATCGTCTTTATCATATAATTCAAGGTTTCGTTTTTTTAATCAAAAAGTCTGTGTTTTGCGGTATTTTAGTCTTATCAAGTATATTTTTTTGAATATTTTTAGTCAATGAAAACATGACATTTTCATCTATTTCAATCATGACATTATGTGAAACCTTTAAGTTAATCTAGCCAAAAATATGTAAATCTATAAGAAATATGAACAAAAAATAAACAAACTTTTGCATTTTTGTCAACAATGTTGCATGTTTATACGTCAGAGTTTTATGACATTACATTACATGGAGATCTGGCCTGAATTAGCTGAGTTATCTCGCTTTGGAATAAATTATTTGACTGGCCAGCCGGATACTAAAGGATGTGAGATTTAGTTACGACAAGAAAAAAGGAGGGGTTGTACAAATCTAGCAGATGCTAACCTGGCCTCTCGCCTGTTCTTAACCAGCATAAGAAGAACGAGGAGACGGAGAACAAGAAGAAGAAGGAGGTGAACCTGGTCATCTCTCACGCTCACTCTGCAGACAACTCCAACCTCTCTGCTGACGGAGACGACTCCTTCATCAGCATGGACATGGACTCAGCCATGCCCAGTCCTTTTAGTGAGGTGAGGAAGTCCGGTCGGAAACATACAAGGGAGGGAGTGAGTGAATGTCTTGTTATGAAAGTGAAGGAATGGGAAGAGAACACAAATGCAGAGGATAGTGATGGCTTCTCCATTAGGATCCAAAACTATCTCCTCTTAATGTGGTTTGGTTATTAATTATGAATTCCTTTCTATCCTCTTATCTGCTCTATATCCTCTATTCTGCTTTGCTTCCTTGCTCTATTCTTCCTCACTTCCTTCCTTCCTTATCCTTCCTATTCCTTGCATCGTTCCTCTTATCGTCTCCTTTGCTGTACGGCCCGGTTCCCTTACTTCCCGCGGTGTTGACCCCCAGCCTGTGTGTGTGTCTGTGTTGGCTCCTCTTCCCGGACAGATCTCCCTGAGCAGCGAGCTCCAGCCCGGCTCGTTGCCCCCGGACGCCGACGCCGACGAGAGCAGCAGCGACATGCTGGTCATCGTGGACGATCCGGTGTCCTCGGCGCACCAGTCCCGCGCCACAAACTCCCCCTCCTCAGTGTCCGGATCGGCCTCCGACAACATGAATGGTGAGGGAACCAGTTGGCCGAGTTTGACTTTGATGAAGGGAGTGGAACAGTTCACTGTTCACTGCTTGTGCCTTATTTTAGGAGCTACCAGAATAATTGGAAATGTGATACTGGCTTGTCAGTGGCACAAGAAATACACTTTGGTAAGATTAGGGTTAGTACTTGAAATTCAAGATTTTTTCAGTGCTAGAAATTGTAAATGCATAAGATAAATTACTATCTTACTGCATAGTTATTAGACCTTCATACGAAGAAATAAAATAAGCCTAATTGCTTTTGTGAATTAAAACAGCTGGACTGTGCTTGAAAGGGGCCTGAATTTGACTTGAGTAAGGGTGTAGGAACTCTGTCAAGAAGACCTTATTTTACTTTGCCAGCTTGTTTCTGTAAAATGTATATGAAATCTTCGTACCGTGCCTTGTGGAGTTCCAACCGTAAAACGCTTTTTGGTATGTCCTATTGTGTAATTGCTGTTTAATTACACAATTCAATTATATTAGAAGAGGAAAAAGAAGAATTGGGAGGGATGAAACCCTCTTTAATGGCCACACATGCAGAGCACACAGCACACAAAGATACATTTGTTCTCTGCTTTTAACCCATCCTTGTACCAGGAGTCTAGTACTAGGAGCAGTGGGCAGCTATTGTGTGGTAATCAATGAATACTCACATTTAACATTTGCTAAGACAATTGTCACATTTACATTGCAGTGGAAATGTACTTAATACAGTTAATCAAGTACTTTGAATACTTAAATACATCCACTTTTTCACCACTACATTTCAAATAGAAATGTACTTTTAGCTCAACTACTACTACTACTAATTTTACTTCAATTTTTTTTACAACGCACACTGTCCAAATGTTTATATTGGATGGTTTCCTCATTTCAGATAGTGTTGCTACATAAACTCTGTCCTTCTCAAAACCATAGCATAACCTTGGTGTTATCTTGTGTTGTTAGAAGTATGTTAGAAAAGCAGATCTGGGTGTGACTTACATGAAGGTCATTGCAGTACACACAAGTCCTGCTGGTCCATTTCAATCAGGATTTGTGTTTATATAGGCCTCCATCCACTGAGCAAGTAGCCTGTTACCTCATACGTGTTATGTAGCTGATTATCGAGAATTATGAGGGTTTTATTTTGCCCTGGTTGCAATGTTTTAGTATGTTCCGTACTGTGGGATCTAGATCAACTGTGGTTTTTGCAGTATATCCCACTTTGGATGCACTGCAATAAAGTAATCCCTCCTAAATACATGCTGCTTCTTTGAAACCCAATTGGGAATTTTGCCGCCATACTAAGAGGCTTCTGTCAGAAAGATTATAGAAAAAAAAGTGTGAGTTTAATATTTGAACATTATGCAGTGTTATTGAAAGAGCTAAAAAGAGTGGACATTGGACAGAAAGAGGGGAGAAGGTTCCTTTAGGGATGAGGAACATTCCAGTGAGACAACCTGGCAGTAATTCTGCAAAGCCTATGGAAAATGAGAACAATATTCCAGTTTTAGCTTGAGCCTGTACTTAGGGTAATGATGAGTAATGATTAGTGTGTAGTTATACTGCGATGCTGCAGTAAAGCTATCATCTGAGTTTCCTTGAAAGATTGGGTTAATGCCAAATCAGACATTTCTCTCACACACGGCTGTGTTCTCGGAATGTGTTAAAGCCGTTATGTATTCCGGGAACTTGTACAGCTTGCTTTGGAAAGGATGTGGATACAAATAATAATAGGAACATATTTTTCTGAATTTCGTCTTCAGGTGTTTCTGCCTCGGACGCGGTTAGTCCTGGCAGAGGTCGGTCTGGGCGGAGTCGGGGACGGCCCAAAGGATCTGGAGGCGGGACTAAGTCTGGAGGGAAAGGACGCGGGCGCAAGTCGACAGCGGGCAGTGCGGCGGCCATGGCGGGGGCGATGGCCGGAGCAGCGGCTGCCTCTGCAGCAGCTTTTGCTGCGTACGGTTACAGTGTCTCTAAAGGTTGGTGAATAGCAAACACAATATATTGAACAACTTAACCAAATCATTATTAAACAAGACAAGTTGGGGTCTATCCGTGAGATTAATTGACAGTGGCAATCCAAAGGTGTAGTTGATTATCATGCATAAGGGCACAAATCATTTCCTGATAGTCTAAAATTGTTAAGTGTGTTGATATGTTTCTATATTACTTGCCAAAACAGGAAGCTGGGAGAATTACACAACCTACATTTTGATATAAAAGCTATTCAAAGAATTGCCAGATCTCAAATAAGAGCCAGGGGAATGGCTAAAATTAACAATTTAGGCCTTTTTTATTTCAAAATTCAGTATAAATGTTACTATATTTCAATAACCCAAATTACATTACACAAACAATCATATTTAACTAAAACAAAACATGCTAATATATAGCAATTTATATATATTGCAAAAGGTATGCTTGTGTGAAGAAAGGGCTGCAATACTTTTATTTTGAAAATTCTGGAGGAATTGTTTATTAAACATCATTTAAAATTATGAGAACAACCAGTCAAAATGGTTGATTTGTTGGGTTGCATTAACTGGGGTATAGAGGTTATTAAAATATGACTTGGCATATAAATAAACGTCTGGCTCTCTACCGCTGAGGTTTAAGGGTCGGGCACTATTTGAGACGCATTATAATATATTTATTTTGGACACACTGCTAGTTTCTTTAGAGAGTAACAGGCGCATGTTGGTCCCTCCTCCCAGCAGGCCTCGCTGCGTCCAGCCCCCTGCAGCCTTCTCTGGGCCGGTCCGGTACCAGCCCCGCCTTCAACCCCAGCAGGAGCTCCTCTCCGCAGGCCAGAGGAGGGGCCTCCACCCCCAGCCCCCACAAACAGCTGGCCCCCAGCCACCAGCACCACAGCAGCAGTAGCAGCAGCAGCCACGGCACAGTCAGGAAGGGCAAGGGTCCCGCTGGGGCTCGATAGAAGCACTCGGACACTCATGAATGTGCTCTAACTGTCTCAGTATAACACACACACACACAGAGATAACTGACCTACTCTCACTGTGATCCACACAGACGCCCTTAACTGAAACTGAGGCTCACTACCCGGAGGACCATGCTGTGTCTGCTAGCTTCTCCACACACACAAACAGACAAACACATGGATAATTTAAAGGTGCAGTACCGACCAGCGTCCAGATTTCTCGGTTCACTTTTATTTGAAAGAGTCTGGGTCAGTGGACAAAATCCGCCTAAAGTATTTTTGTTTGCATTGCGACAAGACCTCTTCCAAGTGCTTTTTGGGAAGACAGACAGTACTTTTCCAGACAGGAAACTCTTTTGATTTGCTAGCTGTGAACTAAAACCAACACATGTAGCGCAAAGGGCTTTGAAATGTTGGCTAAAGGAGCATCTGTCAAAATGCACTGAGCCACGTCTTCCATTTTTCCGTGTTGTTGACTCTCACACATGTACATGAGGTTATTTAATTGTTCTGTAGATATGCTCAGTGCTCAGACAGTAACGTGAACCCTACCTAACCAACCCACTCTTTACCAAACAGCTTTTCTACTAAAGCTACTATTTTTGTAAGAAAAGACGCGAGCACCCATACCGACATGGCAGGTCTTTAAGATTTTTGAAAAATATTTGTCCATAAAAGGTATTCCCTCATAGACGGAAATAAAAAAAAACATATATTTTTTGTCTGATGGGGAAATGAAAGATGTAAAAAATTGTATTCCATAATGAGGGGTACTGGTTGATCCGGCAATGCTGCTAACAGTAAATTTATGAATACACTTTGGTTGTCTATATTTAAGTTATTTGAGCTATATTAAGAATGCGAAACGGGCTATTCACCTGTAAGACAGTGTAAATTGTACTGAAGCCATTTTTATTATTTTTCAGATATCGTTTCTCTTTGTGATGAGAAGTCTGTGGTTCTCTTTGACGTCATTGATGTTTTAGGAAAAAAAATATGTTTGCATCGGTGTCCTAAGTTGAGCACTACATCTGTTAGAGGTTTTGTTTGTTTTGTGTTTATAGTGTGATTAAAATATGATGTTCTATATTGATGTACATAATAATGAGAGCGACCTTTCCTCTGGCTTTCCCCTCATTTGCCTGTCTATTTTTATAGGTCATGTGTACATATGAAGAAAATGCGTCTGCCATTTTACTAACAGAAGGAGCCAACTGAAAATAAAAGAGTGCTAAATCAGCCGCTCTGCTTTTTCTATTTCATTATTTCATTATACTTGTATTGCTTATTGTCATTCAGAACCATAGTTTACCAGGGGGGTTGTAAACTTCATGCTTCCAAAATGAGTTGAATTCAAATATTTAAATATGAAAAACACATGAATATTAAGTAACTACACTTTAGTGATTCTTCATACATTTGAACCAAAATAAAACTTTGGAAAATGGGTTTTATCGGAGGACAAGAAAGACAACCTTGTAGTGTAAAGTGCATCTCTTGGCTTTCCCCGACTCTTCTGCATGCAATATGAGTAAAAGTGATATGAATTTATTTATATTCTCCAGGTTTTGTTACATATCCGGGGTTTGAATGTTGAGAGATGTTTTTTTAGTTGGGCGAACTGACTAACAAACACTTAAGGGTCTGACCTTGAGTTTCGACCTGGATAAAGCGTATGGAAACAACCCAATCAAGGCAATGCATTTTGGGTGAGGGGCTGCTGAGATTTGAAGTTGATGAGCGCAGCAGCAGCATGTTCTTCCTGCTGCACTCTGACATGACCACGGCACAGACTGTAAACACAGGACTTCCAGGTCTGGGCTCGTCCCCGGCCTCGGTTATATAAGCCTCTGAGGCTAGATAGACTCTGACTTGAAACACGTCCAAGGGACAAGCTGCTCCGGCCAACATTTGGGAGTGTACATGTTTGTATGTGTGTGTACTGTTCCAAAAAACAGGTTTACAGAGTTATCTGGATTATAATGCTGCTAGAGGACATTTGGCAACCCAGTCATAAACAAGGACTGTAGCTGACTGTATCGCAGTAAAACGGCCTCTTGGAACAAGCCTCAGCGGTCGTCAAATGTAGCATATGCTAATATAAAATCCCTATTTGTAATATTCAGTATTGGTGGTTCCCAACCTTTGAAGCTTCTGATCATTTCAAAATGAGGCCTCCATCACAGGCTTGACCTTAACATGTGTGATTTTCACTCCTAAAGGTGTTTTCTTAGTAAGCCTTGAGAGAAAAAAGCAGACATTAAGTATTTTGTTATTCCCATAATCTTGTGCTTCTGATTTGTTTTGTTTTATGAAATATATTTCATCCCTTTATCTTCATTTACACTTTTTCAAATCTCATTTTATTTGAGGGATTTTTACTCTGCAAAAACATAAAAGACTTGTGAAAAGACCCCATTCAGTTTATTCAAAAACATGGTTCGTTGGGAACGAGGGTCAACGCTAAAACTATTTATTGCACCGTAGTCCTCTTTTTCTTTAACCCTATCATAGCCATCACAACACATTAAGAGTGGGTCATGAATACAATCAATATAAAAGCTTTACTAGTGTTCCTTGGCTGTGAATCACATGCCTTATATTATTTATTTGGGTATACATCAACTGTGATGCTGCCTGGGGATTAATGCATTTAGTTAGTCATAGTACCTTTAAGGCACAAACAACAAAACAGAGTTATTTTAACTTTTTTATTGATGTTTGCAACTGAATAAAAGTTGGCACAATGAGCTTTAAAAAACAAAACAGGTCAATTGCAAACAAGTTTTCACCATGACAATTAATGTTGTACCGTCTGTATGGGTAGGACGGAATCTGAACTGTGCAAATAAAAAAAGATGTTTACAGTAACAATTCATCATACAGATGTAGCATTACATTGCAAACATCAGGTCATGCTTCAGTAAAAAAAAAAAAAGACCTCTTAATGTCATGCTTCGTTTTTTTATTATCACTTAGTAGCATTCAAGTACACCAGATGGTCGTGCGAAGAGAGATTTCACAACATTAAAAATGGTTGGACTGGCATGATGTGACAAGCCTCAGTGTTGTGTGTGTGTGTGTGTGTGTGTGTGTGTGTGTGTGTGTGACAAAGGGTACGAGCTACTGGGAGGCCAACACATAGGACACCACGGTCAGTGCCGCGGCCTCGATGGAGAACAGGTGGTGGTCTTCCACCTGTGGGCAGCTGCTCCTCATGAACTCGGCCAGGCGGAGCAGGTACTCCAGGTTGTGGCCCGACTTCCCCCTGCACACTGCGATCTGGACTCCGATCATCTCCGAGCTAGCCGGCCCCAGGTAGAGCGTGTTGTCTGCGGTGGCGATGTACACCAGCGCCTGAACTGAAGGCTGGTTCTCCCCCTCTGGGAAGAACTCCACCATCTTGGTGACATAGCCTCCGCGGACCCCCTCGCGCACGTTCAGGTACTTCAGGGACTCCTCAACTTGAGAGCCTGTCACCTCGAATGCCACACCCCAGGTGCTCTCCTGTGAGAAGAGAAAAATATTTATTATTTTTAAGGTTTATTTGTTATTATCAATTGGGATTGGGAATAACACTGAATTTAAAAAGACTGGAAACGCCCATTCAGCATCTCTATAAAAAACAAGAAGCAGTCGCGCTTTCCACTTACGTCATCATCTTCAATCAGCGTCACCACTCTTCCGGGCTGCAGAGAGAAAAATAAATGCGTCACGGGACAACGCCTGTGGCAAACGTTGAGTCAAGCACCAAACACACCAGCAGCAAGCAAGCCAACATCATATCATATAAGTGCCAAATTAAGTAAAGCAAAAACATTAAGCATCTTACCAACTCGTCGTTCCCGCGGTGGAAGTTGTCTCCGTGCCAGAACCGTCTCTTGTAGCCTTGAATGTAGCCGACCTGGCTCCTCCTGTACTTGAAGTCAGGCTTCCACACCAGTGACCCGTACCCGAAGATCCACAGGCTGCTGGGCTTCCCGGTGGTGATGTCTTGAGGCTTCATTTTGTAATAGTGTTGACGATGAATCGATGGAATCAATCAATCTTTCAATTGATGTTGTTAGCTAAGCTGCCTAACTAGCTAGCGTTAGCTTCCTCCGGTCCAGGAGCAGTGGTACAGGTTGGCTCACAGGTATACCGCGGACGGTATTTGAGCCCAACTGCTTGGCAGTTGCGAAGATGGAGTTTCGCTCTTGATTTTGCCTTGCACTATGCATTGCCGTTGCATTAGAGATGCCGCATTATGCCTTAAAAATCCATGGCAGCCGCTTCGGCCTTTGAACCAATGGAAACTAATAAAAAATCGTTTCGGCCAGCTAGTTCGCCGGCCGGTAACGCTACCAATTTCAAGCTTACGAGCGAAAGTGTTAAGTTTTGATTTAGAGTTGTTCTTGTTAGAAACGCCTTGTAGTTTATATTCTGGCAGCCGATTGCGGTGATTTGAATCCTATCCTCGATAACATGGCGCAGCGGCGCTTACATATTTATACAGTCCACAGTAGGAAGGCTAGTACAAGACATCGTTTTCGACCAATAATATTAAAGAGAGGCTCGTCCTCTTCAGCATTTTATCCAATCCGACTTCGGTGCGCCTGAAAAGGCGGGATTTATAGCCAAACTGCTTACGCTATTGGCTCAAATTTAACTTGAGCCGCAAACGTGTCTTTTAACCTGATTGGCCGATGAACTGTAATTCTATCTGTCTCGAGTTATGATTGGTCGCCTGTGTAGTCACTCTCTGGCTGATGCAACTTCCAACATCATTTCAGGGCCATTGCAGCAACCAAGCAACATACCAAGACATTGCATCAGAATTGAGCTAAAGGAAGAAGAGGTCTATATATATTTAAGCTGTCTGTGGCTCTTTCCTGCTGTAACGATGCAAATGTCCCCTCTGTGGGACTAATAAAGGTATTCTGATTCTGATATAAGGTTCATTACACAAACTGTGCCACCAAGAAATTAAAGAGAAAAATATAAGATGATATGTGAATTTATACATAAAAAAAACATTGAATAAATGATAACCTGACGGTCCTGACCTGAACACAATAGGATTGGAATTAACTCATCCTGTGATCAATACATTAATAAACCCACTATATGGATGTTTACATGATCTAGAGCAGGTGAATAATCTAGTCCCACAATGTAAAGATCCAGATGCAAGACCAATGATGTCTTACCACCACCACATTCATCCCAGCCATCTGGAACCTGGGAGTGAAAGTGGTGAAGAAATGTGCAAATGTGTAATTTGATGTTTTGTATATAATCACAGTTTCGTTTTTTGTTGATACTTCTAGTACGTAGGGTCAGTTTGACAGGTCACATGCAATTGGCAGGTTCACTAGGGCCAAAAGCTTATTCTTGCAGAATCATTCCAACTTTTTCAAGACAAAAATGCATCCGCTTTAATACAAATGATCCAACAACCATCCTGTTGTGACAGGCTAATAGATGATCTGAAACTATGTGTGTTTGGAAGACCTGATCATACAAAAAATGCCCAACCCTCCTGCAGGATCTCTTACAGCAGAGGCTCATCTGTGCTCAATAGATATATAGCCAGCTGTGTCTGCCTGAATACAAAGCCAGACAACTGTATCAGCTCTTCATTATTCTAAAGCACTGCATATCCAGGCCTTTAAGCATCTTTGTGTCATGCAAAAGCTTCCATCTCATTATATATTGCCCTTGCATGTCCATCGGGCCTACTGCTTGCCACGTATATGCAGGCTTTTCTGAGCAAGGCTTCACTGAGCCTTGGGCAATTCAACTTGAAATATCCCTTAATTTACACGTTTCTCACTGTTTCTCCAAGTCACAGGTAAGGCAGGCCGAGCTGCATTTATCCCCAGAATGTGAACAGATTATATCAAAGTCCTTCAAGTACGTTTTTCTAAGTAACTGTCTCATGTCTTTTCAAATTCCAATTATAAAAAGCATATTATTCTTATTTGCTGCAGTTATATGATGTTGTTTTGAACATGAACATGAGTGTTCTGCCTGGGGTTTTATTTTGGCATTTGCTCTGAACACCACCTGTGTGTTTCTTGTGTGTGGGTTTCTTACTGACACCTAGTGTTAATTAATGAGACGTGAACAAGTGTAGGGCAACGTTACACAGCACAGCATCATCATATAGCAGTATGATCTGCCCTCACTTGCATGTTTTTGTATATGCCAGGAGTCGAATGAGGCTTTAAAAGAAGTGACAAAGATTAGACAAAGCCAGAGCTTAGTATCAGTTTTGCACTTTTGCTTGCGATTTTGCATAATCTTTTTTGAAGTGTTATGAAGAGACACTTCCACATTCCTCAGATTTTAATATTAAAATCAGTTTCCTGATACTACATTCACAACATCCCAGATTTGCCCCTCTTCCTTTCTTCAGAATAAATAGTTGCTGATTAGCGTATTTGTCTGCATTCTCACATGTTTTGAGGTTGTTTCCTGAAGTGCAGATTGAAGCAAGGCGATGCTGCGTGAGAAAAGTCGTTGGCCCTCGCCGGCATGTTCTGCGTTTTTTAATCAGGGAGGAAACAGGAACTGATGTCATCAGGTCACAAACAGGATGCTGTGATTATAACACAATGAAAATGCCTGCCCATGAGTACGGAGACCCAGAGGCCAAAGAGTAAAGTGCTAGCATGTGTTTGCCACTGCGAACGAGTGTGAAAGTCTGCATTAAGGTGTGATGATGGTGGGAAAGAAACTCTAACTATCGGGCTGGGTCATGTTACACACCAAAGCATCATGGGCTTTAACTGGGTGATTTATCACAGCGATAACATGTATGTTTTCTTTTTTTTTAGCTGGGCCAGAAGAAACCCTTTTCTAAACTTGATTTTTCTTTTTACACACACAACTCCTTAGATGAGGATGTCTAGGTCAACAGGTTAACAGGATGTGTGTGAGGGAAAGCCATCCAGATTCTCTGAGTGTTGATTGCTGATGATTAGGGGGTGTTGACTGTCGCAGGATTTCTGTTAATTGGAGTCAGGAGAGCTTTGCATTTGATAATGAGGATGACACATTGCCTCAAAATGTATTTTCAGACACCCTAAATCTAGGGCTGGGAAATATGGAGGAACTACAATATCAAAATAGTTCTGATGCAACACCTCGATATCGATATTGCAACAATGGTGCTTTTAACACGTATTTACACTCTGACATTTTTGATAACAATGTGTAATTTGGTTATGATTAGGTAATGGTTAAAGGTAAACAATACTGCTAGAACAGTTAAGATCAGAAGATGGCATTGCTTTACTGTAATGAAGCCAGGAAAAGACACCTATTACAAAAATGAAAAGTGAATTCAAATACTAATGTCATGTAACGATACTGTAATAATATTGCAATGTTGGCCACTAACGTGAACACATTCTTAGCACAGATCCATGCGTGACATCACTTAAACGTCAGAGGATGGTGGTTTATGAAGACTGTACGTAGCATTTTCCCAGACTGAGCAGATGGCTCTGATATAAGTCAACTTTAAGTCAATCTCTTCATTTGTGTCCAGAGCCCAATCCTCAGTTTTGTCTGCAGGAGTGGGTGGTACAAAACCGGGGGGCATTGAAATATTGCTCTCAACCCTGGAGGGGAGGCCGGCAGTTGGGGACTGTAAGTGCTCGAGTGTGTTTTTTTTATGGGAGGTGGTCTGTGTCATGCACACGGGGCGAGAGGCCTGGCATATGCTGCTGTTTTTATGGCACTACAGACCCCCCCCACGGCATCTGTTTGGGTGTGTGTGCACAGACGTGTGTGCGAGCATTACGAGGGGTGCAGGGTTGGGGGGGGGGGCGTTCCCCTTTGCCCTGCGCCTGGCTTTGTTTCGCCATTTCCAGCTTGAGGGGGTGGTATCCCTGGAAACGGATTTGAATTTCAAGCCAATTTAGGGCCGGAGAGAGACCGAGGGGTGGCAGCCAAAGGCGTTTCCAGGAATTACTCGAAGTACTGATGCTACAGTCAGGGGGGCTTCATGTTTTATAGATAATGTCCGAAACATTCAATATGATGGGAGCAGCTGGATTTCATATTCATAAAGCTGCTCACAATTTTGACGGTTTGATTGAGCAATATGGGTTTGAATAATCTCATCTTAATACAAAATAAATACAAGACACATTCAATCGTCATTTGTACTCAATTTCATTGTTTAAAAACACCTCAAAAATAATTTCCTTTTCCACTTACTGACATCAAATCAAAAACAGTTTTCAAGAAGTTTTATTCTTCAGAAGTTTGGTCCTTATAAATATGCATTATATACAAAATAATATTATAAAACATATAAAGAGCAGTGTGTCATATTTAAATTAAACTCTGGAAACAATCGTTTAAAAAAATTACATTATTGGTTCTGTATTTTTTAAATGTATTATAGGCAGGCAGTGGTGTGACAGTCGTTGTTTGAGTCTCTTTTCTTCCTCAGGTGGGTTGCATAAAAAACATTTCTATGCAGACTTTTCCTTTCTCTTGGATCTTGCTGGCACAGCACTGACTATTGCGCTCCTGTGGTTTTCTCTTCAAATCCCCATTGATTAGAAACTATTTCCCCCCCCCCCAATTTTATGTTGTAGTGCAAATGATCCAAGGACAGACAAGGGCACAAATTGAGCGTTCAAACCCCCTCTTTTTGTTAAGGCTTCTAGTGAATTTGGGCTGCATACAATCTTCACCGCTGCATGGGAAAAGTCCATTTTCACATTGATTGACAGTTGAAGATTAGTTTCAGACATTTATAACTCTCAGAGTTCGTGAGGTTGGATTGTGACAGCGGGTGAGTTCACTCGACCCTGAGTCTTGCATAGCAGGCGAAGCTGGCAGGAGTGAGTGTTTGTAAGGGGGGGGGGGGGGGGGGATTTGAAGGGGGTCAAATCTTAGGCACCTTTTCTTTTTACTGATTGGTTGGCTGTCAAAGTCATCATGATTATCACACGAGGCCGGGGTCGGAGTGATCCACCCTCGCCTCCAGGATGGCCGAGATTATAAATTAATATTTCGCCGATGCTCTTCACACCTTGAGTAGACAGTCTTTTCTTCTCAGAGGTCCTTCACTGTACATGTTTTGCATACAAACACTCGGTCGACATAACGTTTCCTCAGTTCTGAGCAGAGAGGTTTCCGCCCTCTCCAGTTCTCAAGTGTTCCAGAGCAGCAGTGGACATCTAAAACAATCTCCAGTCTCTTCTCAGCATTTGTAAACAATCCAGAATATTCTTTTTTTATTCTGCCTCGATTGTGTCTTTCTCCTTCGTTCCCTCACAGTTTATACCTTTAGATGGGGAAAAAGAGAGATTTATTTAGTAACAGAGCACCCGATAATGCTTCTCACAGCACCTTCTGAACTCTTAGAGGTCATGTGCTCTGGTGTCAACCTTATATTTTCCTTGGACATCTTATAAATTCCACGAAAAAATTGCCCCAGCAGTTAAGCATAGCACTTTTGAAACCAAGCAGAGCCAAACATGTGTAAGGAATCAGTATAAGTTCGGACTTTAGGTCATCACATGGCCAAGATAAAGAATCGCCGGTTTAATTTACAGAAACCAATAATGCACTTTAAGGCTTCCCCCCCAGCTTAGGACCAAATACCCAGAATAAACTCCTTATCCGCCGTCATAGATGTTGTTGCACTAGTGAGGGATGGTGCACACGGGACGACATGATGCATTTCAAATGGAAGATTAGCTGATTAAGATGTTTTTTGTTTTGTTTTGTTGGCTTACCTCGGTCGCTATGACGCACTCCTTCCTCTCCTCCGCTATAACGAATACCGACTGGTACATGGAGTCTCTTGAGGAACATATCGTTGATATCCTACACTCTGGCTTTTCACTGCAAACACAAATCAAAAGTCTGTGTTAACGCAAACTAGAAGCACATGGCAGAGCTATGTAGAGGCAGCAAAAAGCAATTGTCTGAAACATATATATAGACTTTGTGTAAATGACGAACAATGTGTTTACAAGTGTGAAAATAACAGTTGGAGGCTTTCTGTGGGGTTCAAACATCTGAATTGAGGCAGTGCGTGAGAGCACCCATTAACAGTCATTTAAACTCAGCAGGGCTGCAAATATACACCGCTGTATGAACACAATAAAAAGCAGACCTATGGAAATATCACACTATATTAAAACACTTAACAGTTTACTACAGAAAAAGTGTAAAAATGGTTCCTCTTACCTGTACATTCTACTCAAGGGCATTTTGTCTTCTAAACATTTCACATAAATAAGACTTTTATCCTCTTGCGACTTTTTGTCCTTGAACTCTTTCGATTTCGAGTTGTAAGAGTCCAAGTGATAGTTTTTATGGATAAAGTTCGATTTCTCCGAATCGCAGTCCACCTCCAGGCTCCTCTTCTGGTTGTTGTTCTTCAGCTGGCACTCTGGGATCAGGTTGTGTTTCTGACCGTTGGACAAGTTGTTCATGGTCTCCGTGTCGGCCCTCTCTCTCTGGGCCTGCCTGTGGATGTGTCTCAGAGCCAGGCCCACCATGCAGAGCAGCACCAGCAGCGCCACCAGTCCCACGGCCAGGGACACAGCCGCCCACTGGAAGCTGTCCTGACCCTCTTCCTCGGCCACCGGGGAGGTGACGGCGGCGAAGAACTCGCAGCGGGGTCCGGTGAACCCTGAGAGGCAGATGCAGGATGCTGGAGGCTTCCCTGGCCCGCCGCCCCCGGTGCAAAGTCCTCCGTTGAGGCAGGTTCGTAGGGAGCACTCATCCAGGATTCTCTCGCAGTTTCGCCCCCCGTAGCCCGCGGGACAGGTGCAGGTGTAGTCGTTGATGCGGTCTTGGCAGGTGCCGCTGTTGAGGCAGGGATTCCCGGCACACTCGTTGATGTTGATCTCGCAACGCTGGCCGATGAATCCCGCACGACAGCTACACATACGCGTGCCACCGTGGATCAGACACAGCCCACCTACACAAGAAGAAGAAAGGAGAGGTTACTATCAAGACAGAACATTGGTGACAAAAAACTTTCCCAAGAGGGCTTTTCAGTTCACACAACTCAAATCCACAGTGTGACCAGAGCGCCGTGTATTGTTCTCCCAACACAGAGCAATCTCATAGTTTCCAAGAAGACAGAAATCGAGCCATGCTGGATATTTGTCCCCCCTTTCATCAACAACTGTGGCGACATTTACAAGCTGCTGCTCTGAGCTGCCGAGTGTTTATACATAGGACAATAGACACTGAGTTCCCACCAATTCCTGTTGTTCAGCACTGCTTCTAGTTGCAGGACTTAGAAAAGAGGGGGGGGGGGGGAAGAGCGAGGGGAAGTTCAGAAAGGGGAGGAAGACTGTACCATTAGCGCAGGGAAGCGACGTGCACTTGTCCACTCTCTTCTCGCAGTTGAGTCCGGTGTAGCCGCGGGGACACTCGCACTTGTAGCTTCGGCCATTGTCCGTCTCCCAGCAAAAGCCACTGTGGAAACACGGGGAGTCTGCGCACGTCAGAAGGCTGTGCTCACAGTGGGACCCCTCGAAACCTTGGGGACACGTGCACATGTAGCCACTTTCTAAATTCTGTGGAAAGTGAGAAAAGAAAGGAAAAGTTAAGCAGGCAAAAATAATAATAATAATAATAATAGTAAGGGTTAATATATCACAATATAATGTATCTGTTTCCCACTCACCGTGCACATCGCTCCGTTCCTGCAGGGGTTGCTGTCACACTCCTGCATCTCCAACTCACAGTTGACCCCTGTGAAACCTGGCAGGCAGGTACACGTATAGCTGCCCTGTCCCGTGTTCATACAGGTAGCGCCATTCACACATGGACGGTGATGGGTGCAGAAGTTCAGGTCTGGGGGGGGAGAAGAGTGTTTGTTTACAAGGAATCAAGAAACGAAAAACAATTTACAAAGCCATGAATGCACAAACCTAATTTACTAATGCTTTTATTCAAATGAAAACAGTGTAATATGATAACATCAGCAGCAGTGGTCCATGTGTGTACCTTGGTCACATAATAGGCCTCCCCAGCCCTCCTGACAGTTGCACTGCCATGGCAGCTGGCAGGTGCCGTGCTTACAGGCCGGGTACTTCTTACACTCGTCACAGAACGTGCCCTGCCAGCCTTCTCTGCATCTGCAAAATGACAAAAAAAGGTATTTGATTAATCACGTATTCCTCATATTGTAGATTCTATAATTGCAATGAATATAGTATCTAAAACTGGCCATTTTGATTCTAGTTAAACATGCATGATGCTTAACAGCGCTGTCACGGATTAGCTGGAGATAGCATTAAGACATCAGCAGTCAATCCACCAACCAGACATTAATGGCTGCACCACAGTTGGTTACAGTCATTACATGCTGATGATATACACCCATTGCCACTTATAATACCACTTTTTTCCAAAGTCTTTTTAGAAATGAGTCAAATCATGCATTAGCATTAATAGTTTTTTCCCAACCTCATTACATCACAACACATTTGTTATTGCAACAATGTGAATGCAGAAACTACAGGACAAACAGTCATGTATATGCAGTGTATTAAGAATAAAGAACAATATTATAATAGCACAAAGGTAAAATATTGCTTTCAAGAATTCTGGCAGAAAGCCAGAAGTCTATTTATTTTCTTGTTTCCCATGAATATCCGTTTCTCAGCACAGTTTGCAGTGAACCATGAGATTATGGGACTTAAGATGTACTTTTAAGGGTTTTTGCTGAGCGAGCATGGGTGCAGCTTTACATTGTTGGGTATCCGAAGGGTTTAACCTACATTTGATGATGGATTTATGTCTACAAAGAGGGCAGAATAGGATTCAGGGGGAATTTCTCACAGCCAGTGTGAGTCGATGTGTGAATTATCCTAAACTGGTGAGTGAGACATGGTAGTGAAAAGAAAGGAACATGGGAAGCAGAGAAACCAGTCAGTGACGCAGAGAGAACATGAGGGAAAATACTTTCTAGATTTTCTTGATTTAGTGAGCTTCAACATCTTTTTATAAATACATGACAGAAAAGCCCAAGAGATGACACTCTGACATAATTGCAGGAAACAGAGTTGCTGATACATGACAATGCACCTTATAATAATAGATTTTTTGAGAAACTCAACCAAAGTGGATGTAATTTGCACTATTCCCATATGTGTTCCTTCCTACACAACAGCCAACACCTATTTCAACACTTCATAATTATTCATACTTACACACACTCGCCAGGTTTGGAGCAATTTCCATTCCTCTCGCTGCAGCCCTCCAGACAGATAGCTAAAGCAGAAGAAAAAATACAAATATACAGTTATATATAAAACGTACATGCTCTTTTCTCTTATACTCCCAGCATAACTGTTCCAGGTGATGCAACATAATATTAATTTCCCACCCCTCAAAAACACCAGTAAGGAGCACTATAGGCAGCATATTGGCCTTGTCATAAGAATACTATGGATGTAAACCAACACTGTATGAGCCTCACACTCCTTAACAACCAAGGCCCTTTTCCTGAAATAGCCTGAAACTGTGACCTTACATGAAGTACGTGAGGCTTCATTGTATCTTAACTTTCCTTGGAGTCCTTATTTTTGATCTAAACCTGTCCGCCACACCCCCAGCTACTATGGGTAGAGGGTTTGTTTGTCCTGTTTTAAGTGTACTGGTCTGGCCTGACACTGATTCGCGGGACAACATAGCAGGCGACTGACGGTAAGCGGCCGGTTTAGTCCGGAGAACAGATGCTTGCTCTCAATAGCAGACAGCTGTCACTATTGTTGTTTGTGGTCTGCCAGAACCATATTTGCAGCTGCCACTACCGCGCGCCCAACAATGGAAGGGACTAAACATCGATGGCGCGTGGCGGATAATAATGCCGCGATTAACCTTGGCGCGTGCGGTCGCTCGAGCTCCTACTATTACTGCCCGCGCACCCCTCTCCGTCTGCGGATTATGTTACCGGGCACGCGCTGTACAGTAGCCTACTTCATGAACAGATGTGATTTTTAAAAAAAACACAAACTCTCTGTATTATTTGAAGAGGACGTCTTTTTAGACACAACCATAGACGGACACAACCTGTAAAGAAACGTCAGGTAAATGCACACCTGTGCATTTTTTGAATAGTGTCAATAAGGAAGTAAGCAAGGAAGTGACCCTTCACAGCTGTGCTCATTAGCCTTTTGTTTCCGGTTTAATTAGGAATATTTGGACCACTACTGCGTGCATATGCTTGTTTAAACTGTACAATGTGCTTTACTGTGCTTAAAAACGGCGTTTTGTCAACCTCCTAAAGGCCTAGTAATGCCCAGGCTTGTTTAAATTGATGTATGGGAGTGTGAGTTAGAGGGGAAATTATAGCTTCTGAAAGATGCCCAATCCATCTTTCTCATGTATATTTTCTGTAGTCACCGACGATTGATGTGTCTGTAATTGCAACACGTGAGCCCATCTGGTTAAAATTTGGCGCCACAGTCAAAATAGCACATGCCAATTTCTCTTTCACCACTGAATGACATGGATGACAGATCCACTGTCACCCATGTGGCCACACATCCAGCACATGGTAACTATTACTCTCACAGTGCCTCCTTCCATCCACTCTTTGATTAATTTGTTTTGATGAAAAGGGCCCTTGGTATTGTGGAGCCAAATGGCATCAGGCCTTCTCATAGACTCATTCAGAGCTGTCCAAAACATGGGAGTGTTGCTCTATGATTTGGCCAAGTGGGTTAGCACAAGTACAATGTGCCTGTTGTCATGCAAAGCCGCCTTTCCCTCAGCCCATATTCAATGAGTATTCACAAACCCACAGCCAATTACATATCAGAATTATATAACTGTAAATTATATAAGGCGTACTACACCAAAATTGTCCCATATATCATTACGTCATGTCTTGTTATAGCACTCAGCGTCTTGTGGCCTTAATGATGATGACCTTTGGGTTATCTTACAGCTTAATAACTACTGATATCTGTATCTGGTGCACGCTCACATCTTTTCTCTCTCCAGGGCCAAAGCCATGACGATGAAGGGCAAAGGTCAAACACAATCAGGAATTCTTGCTGAAAACAAGTCTTTTAAGGTAAGGACTGTCTACCAAATCCTACAAAGAGTTCTCATCAAACCACAGGTTGAAACAGATTTCACTTTAAGTCATTTGCAAACATCTGGAAGACCTTCTGGTGTTCAGTAAAATACACAGAAACGGGCTCCGAGCAACACTGAACAACAAAACTCTGGTGTCAACTAACATAAAATAGAGCAAGCCCAGACTGCAGATATACAGTAATTCTCATGTTGTAGATTGCTTACGTTCTTCGCAGTATTTCCCCTTCCAGCCAGGCAGACAGGATAACTGCCCGTCGCGGTTGCAGGTGTAGTGGCCAAATCGGTCGTCCCTGGGCGAGCATTTTTTGGAACAACTTTCTCCATAGTAACTTTCGCTGCAGATGAATCGGTAGGAATATCTTAGCTCGGTCTGCTTTTCAGTCTGCGTGTTTTGAGACCAATCAGTTCCTACTCCCATTTGTCTTTGGATGGCAATAAAGCTTATCAAGAATTCAGGGTTGTTGGTATCTGAAGAGGGGGGAAAATAGAAGAAAGTCAGGATACATGTAGGGTGGTATAATAACCTGTTTAATTCTTGGAAGGATCGTGGTTTTATGTCAAGAGATGCCTCATAGCTTCTGGGTTCAAATGTCATCCGCTTTCGCTTTTATAATCTGCCCAGTACCAAGCTGCATCCATTATCAAATCCCCTACAGCCTAGATGAAAGATAAACTCAAGTTGAAATTTCCTCTTTCTTTCTTTCCATCAGCAAAAACATTCCCAGGCTCAGTCCCCTCTTCCAAAGGGCGGAACAGAGTAAGGTGTAAAATACAGGAAGATGTAGTCAGGGGCTTTTGGCAGGCACTGCATATTCTCACCAAAGCCCACAGCTCTTTCCCACGACCAAAATAAACCAGAGGAAGTTCAATTGTATTGGGTATAAGAATGAAAAAGGTGTTCTGAAGTTCATAACAAAGGAGTGAATAGGCATGAAAATGTGTGAAATTATGAACAATTAACGGGAGGGAAATGCTGAGTGACTGAGATGTATTTAATATTTGTGAATGTATTTGATGAAAAATGGTAAAGTATACAGGGACTCATATGTTAAATGTACTGACAGAGCTCCCTCCTGTGGTTAAAAAAAACGTTGCACTTACCTACAGGTAGATTTCCATAAGGTGAATGCCAGGCTTCAATTATTAATGAAAAGGACCCCTAAGGAGAAAACACATGCAGATGATTAATATCCATTCTAGATTCTTTATGACTTTTTCCAATCAAAAATATCAAAAAATGTCAAAAGAAAAGCTTTACTTTTTATATTCTGTTTCACAGACTGTTGATTGTTGAACATATATTACACTAAATGTGCTTCAATGATGATTGGATGGCATTTTGGATTTTGAAATAAACAATTGGCAGTCAAATCTGTTTGTCAACAGTGTTACCTAATAAATGGATTATGATCTGACCAATAACTGGTGCGCTCCCAAAATGCAAGGCAGCTCCCTGAAACAACATAAAGGCGCTCGCTGTAATAACAACTAATACATTGCTTCTGCAGGCTCTTACCGGCCATCCAAAGGTGAACGGTATCCGAATCGGTTTAGGTAAAGTGCCACTGTCCTTGGCGCTGAAAGAGTTTGTCCCCAGCACCGCTGTCATTGTACTTCCAAAGATGCAGTCACCTGGCGAGACCACAGCCTGATAGTTCTTCAAGCAAATTCTGAAATAAGTCCTGCAGTTGGGTTTGCATGCATTCCCGTTTGCCAGCAAACCTTTGTGGTTTTTAAATTCGTGCAGTTCGAGCTCAAAAACACCGGATCCAAATACCTAAAAGAGAAGGGGAATATGATTTAAGGAAAAAGGTTGGTGCGATTACATATTGCTTATTTTTGGAAAAATAAATGAAAAAAGTGGCTCTCCATGTGTTAACGCCGAGGAGATGTGGAGATGTGTTATCATCCTTCATACCTGTGATATCAACGTGGTGCTGAATGCGATGGTAAAGGTGAACCAGGCTGCCATCCTTCTCGCTTCTCCAGGGCAGCCGTGTCACCAGCCAATAAAGCAGCAACACCTTCCTATTCCAAAGTATTTACACCAAGGTAAACAGATGGAAAAATTCAAATCTAAAACACGTATAAATCCTTCTTCACTCCCAGGGAGTTCTCCCGTAGCTCCTTGTTGGCGTGCGTCAAAAGCGTCCAGAGAAAGCGTTTCCAAGTTATCCAAAGGTGAGGGAAGAGCAAATATCCACACAGCCGTGCTTCTTTCTGTCAGCAGACGTCCCCTCCTTGCGTGGTACTGTACTCCACAATGGTCCCTCCGCTGTGCGCTTGTTTTGGTGCTGAACTTGGGTGCGTCAGTGCGCCACGGATGTTCACCACTCGTCTTATTACTCGTGAATGAAGGGTAGTGTGTCCCCTCCTCGATATATAGACTTGTACTGCGCTGCTCATTACATAAACTGTCAATCACTCCACAAGCCACCGCCCACTCCACATATTCAACCCCCTTCCCTTCCAACAACAATTATCCAGATTTAATACCCACTGGCACTGCGCTGACTGACCACCATGATACTGGGCGGTTATTAACAAGCCCCTAACATCTGTTGACGTATTTTTAGCGCACAATGCGCCAGGATTCACATTTGTACATCACGGACAGTGGGTGAGGACAATGAAGGGGAGCCGAAATTTCGAGAATAGAAATCAGGAATTCAATTACTGTCTTCCTCCTTGCACCCTTTTGCCATTGGTTTCACTCAATTGCACACCTAATTGGCCCTCACACTGCAGCATGCCCACTATTTCCTCTCAGACCCTTCACTCTATGGGGTCATAGTGACTCTTCCCCGGGCTTTATCACTATTATACTAGAAATGTTTATGCTGGAAACACTTTCTTCTTCTATTCTTTTTTGTGACATTTAGAAGCAAAACAGACCCTATGCCTTAACCAATTACACTGTGCTGGCCTAATATACTCATATATATTATATTTGTTTATTAAAGAAACCTACAATATGTGTCGTTTTACACAAATGAATTAACTCCAATACAATTATACACGTTTCCTTTTACGCACGGCAAAGTGTGTTTTATCTTGTTGGCGGCGCGTGCTCCTTCATGCCCACCCATGCGTTTTACAGTTTAGAGGCAGCGTGCCTCCTATTGTTGCGACGCGTGTCCCTCTTTCGCCCTCATGCGGGTGTAATGTGCGGGACGGGAGACATAACGATTCAGCTGTATGCAAATGAGCTCTCTCTCTCTCTCTCTCTCTCTCTCTCTCTCTCTCTCTCTCATCTCTCTCTCTCTCTCTCTCTCTCTCTCTCTCTCTCTCTCTCTCTCCTTCTCTCTCTCTCTCTCTCTCTCTCCTCTCTCTCTCTTCTCTCTCTCTCTCTCTCTCCTCTCTCTTCTCTCTCTGCTCTTCTCTCTCTCTCTCTCTCTCTCTCTCTCTCACACACACACACACACAAAATCACCTAGATCTGTAAAATCGGTTTATTATCCCCCTTGGCCTTTTACAGCTAATAGCAATGACATGGGGTGTGTGCAGCGAGGTTGCCCGGATTGAAATTAAATAATTAATTTGGTGGCCCAAAATTGACACTGGTGATGCAACCAACTAATAACCCAACAATGTATCCCTTCATGAATCAGTTGGCCACCATGGAGTTAACTTTACACCCTCTTAAAAATGATATTAATGCTTATAAAATACACCCAATTATTCATTAAAGTCATGTTGATTATTCTGGATGAGCCCAAAAGAAAGTAGTCCCTATAGAAATAGAAATGTAACAAATTAGATGACATACATGCGGTGGTTAGGGGTTTAAATTGCATGAATATTTACTTGTTTTTTTCCCTTTATACATGGGCTGTTTTTGATCGTCTGATTGGATGTATTTGTTATCCGATCGCCCGTGTCTCTCTCATTTACCATCTGGTGGGAGACTGGCAGCACCGTTTTCTGTCGTCTGTTCGCGGAGGGGACCGGCCAATTTCCTCCAACCTGTTCATCTAAATTATCTTTGGCATCAGTTGTGCGTTTGTGAAAAAAGACACTAAGTAATCCTGTGATAACATGCAGAAGGATGTGTTATTTCCCATGTTGTGGAAAGTGGGAATATCATGAGGCAACACGTTTTGTCCACAATTATGCCACATGAAGAGGATACAGTATAGGCTTCTATGGAATATGATAATAAGGTCAAGTATTAAATACCAAAACATTGAATATGACTGTGATTCTTTTATGAAGCGTTATGAACAGCCTCGTCAACATCTCATATTGTATGTTATTATACCTTAAAAGTTGTACACAAATACATGAAAACACTTTATTCAGAAATGAACACCAATCTTTAATTTTGCCCAATTGCTAATGTGTCATAAAATATTTAGTGGTTTGAATTTGACACATTTGCTAGTTGTGAATTTGAATCTGTTAAATTAAAAGGAAAAACATCACATCTTCACAGACATGCAGAATATATCGCTTACCTCCTTATAAAATATGGGAGTAAATACTACAAGGCTTGGTAAGTTGATGTTAAAATCATTTAAAAAATAGTTATCATGCTTTTCTTGAGTGATTTTCCCTTTGAACTCTTCTTGACCCTGAAGGTTTGCATTTCATCTGTTGTTTTCTTATGGTAGCTGTGCTCTGCCGAGAGTGAAAATGGAAAGCATCTATATTTATTCAGTGTTTATACGAGGCCTCGCATAGTGGATTGGTTGAATGCTTGTCATATTGACACACCTGTTGTGTCTCCAGTGGGTCCGCAGAGACACAATGGTGACCGCTTGTCATGCAGCTTCTCTCTGTGTCTATATGCACTCAGCTGCTAATTCTGTTACTTGTTGACATTACAATTCTTGTGATTCTTTGTGATTTAATGAAATGAGACCTCCGACTGAATACAGAATCTTTGTGTTGATACTCTTCATAGAATAAACTAAACTCACTGGCACAGTATTTCTGTGTGCTAAACAGCAACATTACTCATCTAGACTTAACTTGTTTGTTTTTAACTGATTTGCGATTGCCTTCATTTTTGCATCGCCTGCCAATAATGTTTTCTAATGGTGATATTACCTACCTTATCTTCTTTTATAGCCATATGTCTCCAGTCCAGCTACCCACTAAAGAGCCATAAAAAAGGTGACAATTGCCATTTATAGTAGGTTTGACAGGTGAGCACAGCTGATAACACACAACTCTCTGCACTACGACGACTCTGGGATGATATGTGAGCCGTATGTTCTTTTCCACACCTTTTAAAGAAAACCATACACACTAGCTATATACTTTGTCATAATACTGTCAATGTCAGATGGGCTCAGCTTTTATTATTATACTGAGCAGCACACATACTGATTTACCTTAATGGCCCTGTTCATTATAAGAGAACTGTGTGTAAAATAGTTTATGGTGAAGTACTTTATAATCCTTTGAATGAAAAATGAAAAACAAAAGCAAGAAAACTTTTATCACAGTTTATAAACATTACAAAAGCTCAGCATAAATTGGGGGTGGCATTTTTACTCCACTATTAATATATATATAAAAAAGACTATTAAGTATTAGAGGTGAACTGTGCTTTTAGTGCGGATGAGCTTATCTCTTTGTTTGATTCGACATGCACACTAATACTGGATTCCGTTGCTCCTTTTACGCTTAGACGCAACAAAGTTCTCTCAGAGCCGTGGCTCAATGATTGTACTTGCGCTTTTAGACGCGCTTGTAGGCGTGCAGAGAGAAAATGGAAAAAGGATAAACTTCATGTCTCCTTAGAAATTCTTCGTGCTTGCCTTTCCGATTATCAGACGGCAGTCAAAGCAGCCAAAACAGAGTATATTTCTCTGTTAATCTCCAAAAATAGCCATAAACCTCAAGTTCTTTTTAATGTCCTCAATTTGATCATTAATCCTTGTGATGCTTCTCCAATTGTGCCATCAACTACTCTCTGCGATACATTTCTTACATTTTTTATCGAAAATGTATCTGCTCTTAGGCTAGCCTATACTAGTGCTACCCCAGATCCTGCTCCCTTCCTGTGCCCTGCTGTCCTCGACCATTTTGAGCCTGTATCCCTCTCTTCTCTCTCGGAAGTAGTCAAGCACCTGCGGCCGACAAACTGCACCTTAGACAGCATTCCCTCTCGCTTCCTTAGAGATGTTTTTGAATCAGTTGGAGCAAGTGTTTTATTGCTTGTAAACACTTCTCTTAGCTCAGGATGTGTCCCAGCTGCCTTCAAACATGCCGTGGTTAAGCCACTACTTAAAAAGAAAAATCTCGATCCCTCCATTCTCGCAAATGTCAGGCCCATCTCCCAGCTACCCTTTTTATCTAAAGCCCTGGAGCGAGTAATCTACGCCCAGTTGCAGCCATTTTTAACCACGCATGGCATCCATGAAAAATTTCAGTCTGGCTTTAAACCTATGCATAGTACTGAAACAGCCCTCTTAAGAGTTTTTAATGATCTGCTCTTAGCCGCCGATTCAGGCAGCCCAGTTGTCTTGGTGCTGTTCGATTTAACTGCTGCCTTTGACACTGTGGATCATAGTATCCTGTTGTCACGGCTTGAACAGTCCGCAGGCATTACAGGTTCTGCTCTTGCATGGTTCAGGTCTTATTTGACGGACCGTAGCTTCTCAGTGCAGTTAGGTGTCTTCTCCTCTGCCAAAGCCCCTCTTACCTGTGGGGTTCCCCAAGGCTCGATTCTGGGCCCCATCCTTTTTCTATTGTACATACTGCCCCTAGGTTAAATTCTTACAAAACATAATATCCCCTTCCATTGTTACGCTGATGATGTACAGATTTATCTGCCTCTCAATCAAAATGCCAACTCATTACAGCAGTTGAAGGACTGCTTAACAGATATTAAATCCTGGCTGAGCCAAAACTTCCTCACCCTTAATGAGAGTAAGACCGAGGTCATCTTTTTTGGACCCCAACCAACAGTCTCCCCGGTTGATATTCTGGGCTCCCTCAATAAAAAAATAAAAATATCTTCCCCTCTGTTATGAACCTTGGAGTGACCTTCAACAGTGCTTTTAAATTTGATAAGCAGGTTAGCACTGTAGTCAAGACCTGCTTTTTCTAAATATGACTATTGGCTAAGACCAAGTCGTTTTTATCTTTTAAAGACCTACTGTAGAAAGGGTTATTAACGCTTTTGTTACCTCGAGACTGGATTACTGCAATGCTTTGTATGTGGGTATGGACCAGGCCTCAATTAGACGCCTCCAGCTAGTTCAGAATTCAGCTGCACGTCTTCTAACTGGCCATAAAAAGCGCGACCATATCACCCCAATTCTGGCTTCATTGCACTGGCTTCCAGTTCGGTTCAGAATAGATTTTAAACTCCTTTTATTTG